ATTATTTTTTTAGTTATACATAAAAGTTTGATAATCATTTAATAATTTGGTGCTGGACTATCATTCATATTTGTAATGAATGTTTGCATTTTTTTAATCTGAAGCTCTTCTCATGTCAATCTGTTTACTGGAAGAGTAATCTATGCATATCAGAAGTTAAAATCTAAGATGAAATATTACTCTTAATTTTGAAGTATATTTACTTACATTTGAACATCTTTTTAATGCATTTTAATTGTATTTGCTAAATACTAAGAAAGACATGAAGTTTCAAAGACTCCTTTCTACAGTGTGCAGCAGAAATACCTTCCATATAATGGTAAGACAGTAGCAAGATGAAGACACCCGTGCCACTAATGTCTTACTGTTACGAGGATGCATTTCTATAATAAGGGATTCCGCTGAGTTCTACTTGTTATTACAAAAAAGTTTTCATTCATGAAGTAGTTGTAAAATAGAGAAATTAGAAATAGAATGTTTGGAAGATTCTAGATCATTCTAGTATATTCGAGAAAAATCTAGAAATATGCAAATTAGGTGTTAGCCCCTATAAAAATGGGATTTTGGAAAATAGTTGTCAGTTGGTGAAAACAAATTGCTGTCAGTATCAACTCCGGCTTTTGATTCAAGGACTATTATATCCAGCCGAAAGAATCTCTATAAAAAGTTTCCGACCAACCAAAACCCAAAAGAGAATTTTATGGAACAAAGTTGGTAAATAGAATTTTGACTAATTTTCATTGACCAAACTAAAAATTAATATTTATTTACACACCTTTGTGGATTTCCAAATATAGCACTTAGATTACTTCACTAGCCCTAAAGTGATAAAGATATTTGATTCCCTTTCCTTCTTCCTCGTAACACTCAAAGTAACTCTTTGTTTTTCTGTTTTGTAGGCTACAATTGTTTATCCTGTATATATTTTATGTTCTGTTTTAGTAAATTAAATATTTGTTTGTGATTTAGCTCTGTGTTGTGGTAAATCATTTTTTTTTCCTTTGTTACAATTATCAACACGTAACACTTACCATTATGTGAGAGGTAATTCTGCTGCACACTGTTTATGTTGATAAATAGCAATGCTTTTTTTGTTTTTGTTTTTTTACAACTTAATTAGTGATATTTTTTTTTATAACAAATTTTTGCTCGTTTATTTCTGTATAAAGAGCTCCAATATTATTAATCTGTTAAAGGCAATCTCGGACAAAAACTGGAGTATCAAAAGGATGGTTTTTCCCTTGACATCACTATCATTTTAACTGCCTTCACTCCTCAGCAATGTTGTTTTAAAAAGTGAAGATTAGAATTTTAATAAAGCCTAAACATATGAAAGTGAATTGTCCTTGAGAAAGCAAAAGTACTAACCACTATTTATTTATTAGATCATTTATTGAAATGCTTGGCAAAACATTGGCTAATTGCCAATTAATTCAAACTTTATAAAATGGTAAGTAATAAGGATTTCATTGTATTTAGTTTGTTTACATATTTTTATAAGTTAGTAATTGTTTATAAATTTATGGATAAAAAATTTTCATAGAAATTGATAAATGATAAATATTGTATTAGTTTTTAGAATGTTGTAAATATAAAATTATTCTTGTAAATAAACAATCTAATAAATAATTAGTGTTTAATATTTTTGTTGTAAATTCTCAAGAACAAAAAAAATGTATAATTTCACTTTCATCATGTGTTTAGGTTTTATTACAATTCTAATCATTACTTTTTAAAAACAATGAAACATTGCCAAGGAGTGAAGGTAGTTAAAGTAATTGTGGTATCAATGGAAAAACTGTCCTTTTGACATACTGTTTTTTTGTTTTTTGCGAGCGTGAAGGTCTAAATTTGTCCTGTTAAGTTTTTAAATTCCTTATTTATAATAAATTTAACAACCTTAGAGTAAGCATCTACTTCATCTTCTATAATTTGTTCTTTTTAGGTGTGTGTGCCCAGGTGTGGTGCTGCTCAAACTGCTAATTTGAATGAAGTGGAGTTTGAAGATCACATCCTTATTCCTAATGAAGAAAATGAAAAGAAGCAAGATAATAAGCAGTTACAAAAAACATTTTCAGGAAAGGTGAGATTTTGTTCTTTGACTGAAGATTAAAATATAATATTTTTGAAGAGACAGTCTTAGGAACACTAGATAAACACAAAAAGGTTTTCAAAATTACACAGCATGTGTTGGGTTTTTTTTTGTTTGTTTCATTAGTAAGTTTGACTGACAAATCAAAATTTCAAAAGTGATTATTTTGGAAGAAAAATTATAATCTTTGGTGTACAATTCTTTCTAACCCATATTCTCCTGGTGTTAATTTAAACTGACACATTCTCTCCTCAATGTCTAAATTATAATTATAAACTATGATTTTTGAAGGTGAAAATTTCATTGAAACATGTTTGGAAATTTCCAAGTTTTCATTTGAAATCAAGAAAATATGAAATTTAAGCAAAATGGTCACTGACAAAGTATAATTATTAGACAGTAATGACTACAAATGTATCTCCCAAAATTGTAATGGCTTCCCTTTATAAGTAGATGCTCACTTTTATTGCTGTAAAAATAATGGCAGAAACAAGCAATCAAATTAAGAGCATTAATCCACACGTGGTAACCATCCTGGGTATGACAATAAACTACATCCATGTCCTTGGTAAGACAATAAACTATGTCCAACAACAATACCTCTGATCAGGAAATTTTGAGGAGCTTGGAACCACCTCTTAATTGTTGGTATTCCCAGGTTCACTCTGATAGGGTCCCGCTATGGGCAAATAATTAACCCCCCCCAAAAAAAAAACTGGGGTCAAAACACTATAAAAGTGTAAAAATAGGTTTTAATACCAGAAACACTTTTTTGTAAAAAAATTATTACCAGCAATATATTTTGAAAAAAAAATATTACCAGCAATATATTTTTGAACAAAAAATATTACCAGCAATAAAAATTGTCAGCATTAAATAACCCATTGAGGTTGATATGCCGTAAAACAAACCAAACCAAAAATGGTAAGCTGAAAATAAAAACTATTTTTTTTCTACTGCGATATTTATAACTACCACCACTCCTCAAAAAAGCATTTTCTTTTTTTCAAGAGAACTGGAAAGGGCCCGTATTTAAGATAGGATAATTAATGGCAACTTTGAGGCTTGATAAGTAGAAATACAAAAGTATGGAAAAATGACTCAAATCTGAGAATTTGTCAAAAAGGCTTTCTTCTTTTCACTTTCTTATTCTTCTTTATATGCTGTGTCCCCTCGTGACATAGGCGATCAAGGCTCTCTACAACTTCCTGTCCATTGCAGCGCTTAATAAATTTTCTGCTATTTATCATAAGCCCTGTCCCACTAGCCACCCAAGCATACCAAGTATGCTATGTGTTATCTTCCTATCTCTCTTGCCTTCTATCTGTCCTGTGAGTATCAAATTTTCCAAGCTCTCCTTCCTCATATGCACAGAAACCTCAACTGTCTCTTGCTGATATTAAGTATTAGTTTCCTTTCATTTCTATTTTCTCCAAAACTTTGTCGTTGCTCAGATGTTTGGTCCTTGGTATCCTAAACATCCTTCTGTAGAACCACATTTCTGTTACTTTAAATCTCTTCATCTTTGAGGAGATCATCCAACAATCACGGCCATACAGGAGGTATCATGTAGCAGTTTAGTTCTCTTTTCCTTGTTTCTAGCAAAATTTTCATATTTTTTAGTACTCGGCTTAACTTTTGAAATGCTTTTTTGGCTATCCCAATATGTCTTAGGATTTCAGTGTCACTCTTTCTGTACTGTGTTAAGACACTTCCCAAACATTTAAATTTAATTTAATCAAATTGTTTAGACAGTAAAATACATGCTTATCATGTTCAACTTTTGGTATTAGTGAATTCGAATTAAACCTTTTCAGTTCAAACCCCATAGATGTTCTGCCTCCCATGTATATGTTCATCTTATACCTGTGCATACCTCAAGACGATATTCAGTCACTCTCCCACGAGGGCGTCATGTGGCACAAGGCCTTTTTAACATGGGATCTCTGAGCCCATGGGCTCGGCCAAAAATATGCCCATTGAACCTGTATAAACGGGTTCAGGGGCGGTTTACCTCCCCGAAAGAGACTCCGCCCTTCAGTGTAGCCTCCTTCGGGTTCCTCCCCGCACGAAGGCAGAGAGTTCAACCGAACAGCCACTCAAGACTTGAGCAACTGACTTACATACCTCAAGACAGCCAGATAAATGGCTTATGGCAATTAAGACTCTGAAGACAGTCTTGTTCATCAGCAGGTTTATTAAAAGCCAATAGAGTAAAACTAGAAAAAGAAATAAGCACAAATATAAGACTAGTTTGGTTTGAATAACAAATGAAAGAATAATAAGTATGACAAAAACAGCTGGAAGCTTGGACATAGAAGCAAGACCATTTGTCTAAAAGAATAAAGGAATGTAGCACAAGTACATTACATGAATACATATAAAATTTGGTACACTGCAACATTGAAATGCATTACTGTAAGTTTTCAAAAGGAAGAAAGTTAAATCTGGGAACAGTGTAAACAGTGAACACATGGTAAAAAGGATACTAGAAAGATACAAATGTAAAAGAAATGTATACAAAGGTGGCTAAATTAAACAATGTTCAAATAATAACATAACATTAAAGAAGACCAATGCAGAGAGAAAAGGTTTTAAAGGTTACATACTGGCAATGCTATCGGAGGAAAGATTTATGAGGATGAGAAAAATATAGACCACATGTTTGGGCCCATGTTTTTACAGTACTGGTTCTGGTGATAACTAAGGCTAACAGGAAGTGGTCAAAAACTGTGTCCAATTTAAAAAGTAACTAAACTGAAGAAAGGGACATACAAAGGGTAAGTAAAACAATACAGATTTGTACAGTGGTAACACAATAGATATCCATAAAATTGGTAGAATTTGAATAAGCACCAATAAGTAATATGGCTGCCAGTGTTATTTATTTGTGATCTGTCTTTTTCAGGCTGTGTTGATATCAAATGGGCAGATTCATCTGCAGGAAGGCTTTGCAAACAGACAGAAAATAAACATTTTATTTGAAGAAACATTTTACAATGTTGCCGATGAATCTTACCGAGTGTTATGTGTCGAACACATTTTCAACACAGATAGTAGTGAGTATTTGCAATTGTGTACAATTATCGGATACTGCGGTGTCATACCAGTAAAAGTGGCATCACCTGTTCAGAGTTAATTTGTCTGAGTCACTCCAATTTTACTTTTGCAGTGTTGTTCTGCTTTTAAAAATTATTTAACTAATGAATATCTACTTTTGTAACTGAATGCTTTATTTTAATTGCACAGTGGAGTAATGGACAGCTGCTCAGATTGAGGAATCTGAGAGCCAAGTTCAAATTCCACTTGAATCCATTATATTCACTTAGGTGCTAATACCCTTGGGAAATGTATGAATCTTCTTCTCCTAAAGCTATGAGTAAATAGCAGGACAGACTGGGTTCTATAGCCTTGGATGGCAACTGGTCTACCGCAGAAAGAAAATGGCAACCTACTGCGAGAAAAAAAAATCTGCCTCATCAGTCATGTATTGAAAGATACATGATTGCCTAAGCGTGTATCATACATAACACATAACTGACTGAAGACAGTAAAATAAATATGATCTATATTTTCTTTTTCTCATATATTCTTACACACTCAGTAACCCCTTGCATCTTAGTGGCTCTATTGCCTTGCTTATTGAAAGCATTTTTAAAAAAATTTACATTGATTAAGTCATACCTGTTTCTTCATTATTGTTTTTTTAGTCAATGTGTCCTCTATTCTTACTCGGGTGTCCATCCAATTTGGTAGACTTCCAGGAACTTTAGTTGGTGAAACTTTACTAATCTTATGACTTTTCAAAATTCCTGAAAGGCTACCAAATATGAGAGACAGTTGAGTAAAACTAAAGGCTATATCAACTAAAAACGTTGATTTAGAAAATAATGAAGATTAGGAGACTGGTCAAAGGAAATCAATGTATAATAGTAACAATGCATTGTCTCTGAAATTCAGGAAACAAGGATTATTACAATCTTTAATAAATTTAATGTTTGCATAATACAGATTTTTTTTTTCTTGAATATATATTTTAATAATATTTTCTTTTCTCTTTTTAGGTACTGTGCAGTCTTCACCATACCAATCCATGCCCACAACATACAAAGAATGTTTCGAGTTACTCTGGGGTCACCCAGGTAAATAAATAATAAAAAAAAGAATTCTAACCAACAATGAAAAGATATATATCATTACAATGAAGTATTCCCCAAACCTTTAAGTAAATCTAAAGAAAATTTGTTTAGACTCTGGCACAAAGCTATTCATTTTTACTTTTGAAATCTGTTCAGTCAAATTGATCAATTTCCATTTAGCTCAAAACTTTTTTATAGCCATGATTAACTCTGAATAACATTTTGTTTGTATAAAATTTTGTGTATTGCATCACTGTTTTTAAAATTATTGGTTTTCTAAAAGAGACATTTTTATTAAAAGTGTAATCATTTTTTGGCCATTTGGATTGAATAAAACAATCTCTTATCAGTAATCTTATACAGAAGTCAAAGTCAATTTTGTTGGTTGGTTTAGTCATGGCAAACAGATATGTAGTGGAATATTAGTTATCTAAACAAAATGAGTATGACTTATTTTCAGATACTTGCTCATATAATGGATCCAGTCATAAAAAGGAAGCCATACTGACAACAAAAAAGACTGGTTTAAAGGGTTTGCTTTTATTCAATCAATAAAGTTGAGTAAAAATGATATTCATAAAAATACATATTTTTATTTTACAAAATCAATTTTTTTAAATAACAAAAGAGCTCCAAATTCAAAAAATTATTGTGTACTTATAAAAAAATAGATTTACATATATGTCTATATTTCTGAGATGAGGTATTGTAACTATTTACACTATACATTGTTTGGACCGTTGTTCTCAATTTTGTTGTCATATTCACTATGCTGCATTACAATGTAAATAGTGTAAGTAGTTACAATACCTCATCTCAGAAATATAAACAGATCCCGAAGAAGGCCAGAGTGTACAACAGCCAAAACATCAACATCAAATGTCAACAGAGATGAGGACAACAGTCCAAACAGTGTAAAATGATTTACATATATGCGCAGGAGATAGTCTGAGTCAAAGCTGCTACATTCATGAAGTTCACTGAAGTGATGACCAATCACTTATGGTGTATGTGTTAAAATTACTTCAATACTGTTTAAAGAGGTAAACTGTCACCCAAGTGACTTGCCACTTTCTCTTCAGACACAGGAACAGCAAATAAACCAGCATCACTTGAAATGTGTACTTTAGACAAAGTTGTAAAATCAAATACTCTTCAGATCTTTGACATTTTCTTTGGATAACCAATGTTTCATTGTGAGTGGATACTGAAAAATTCACAGGTCAACCTACATCTCAAGATTGGACCAAATGAAACTTCTTTTGTTTTTTTTTTGTGTGTGTGTCCCTTCTTAGCCTAAACAACTAAGTACTTTTCAGCACCATTTTGTAAAATGACCCCCTTCTCTGATTTGAACCTCCAACTGTGAGATAAAGGATATACTTTGTGCCAATAAAATGCTTAATCTAAATTAATTTTCCAAAGTTAATTAACTTTGAAAAATTAATTTTGGTTTTTCATTTTTCTTTTAGTTTTTTGTTTGTAATTATTTCAATGATTTACTTACATTTCTTTCTTTCTTTCTTTTTTTTAATAATGTTGATTGGTGAAGCTCATTAAATAAAACTAAATTTTTAATTTATTTTAGTAAAACAACCATGTGAATTGTTTTTAAATTAATTCAAAGTATTTCTTCCCTAATCCCCAAATTTAATAACTCGTTAATGTTCACTATAAAATCTTGTATTATAAAAAAATAAAAATTAATTATTAATTATAGAAAGTTTTATCACTTTTTACTGATACTCATTAATGTCCACTGTCCTGAGAACAGAAAGTGGGGGAGGGGGGGTGTCATTTTAAAAATTGAGAAAAAAAATTTTTTTTTTTTTTTTCCACTTTCTTCTAAAGTCATTCATATTATCTATTTAAAGAAATTAAAATCTATAAATTCAGGTGATAACTACATCATCAAAACTATAGTAATCATATTTATTCTACATTTTTTTTTTTTTTAATCTAAGGTGGCAGAAAAACCAGAGATAACCTGGACAAAGTGTTACAGCAATTTGTTTATGTCTATGGGAAACTGGATGTGTACAATTTTCGGAGTATTGTGGTAAGTATCATACCTAAATCCTATTTACTGCTACAATTATAACTTACAACACAGTCATTTTTATCGAATTAGAAAATAATAGACAAGCTGCTCAGCTACTAAACCATTCTCTTAAGGTATTTGTTAGCTATACAGAATTTAATTATGCTGTGAAAAACGGACATATTCCAAATATTAAGCAACAAAAAAAAAAAGTAAGCAAAAAAAGTTGGTGGGGGGGGTCATTGATTTTGCTCCTCTCTTATCAAAAACTCAATCAAGGATAAAATAAAACTGCTCCTTTTAATCATCTAAGAGAACCCTTTTTACCTTTTATCAACATGGCTGATGCTAACCTGACATAAAGTGGAAAGATTATATTGAATCAATTTCTAGGAGTCTGCTGCTAGGAAAGATGGTTCCCTGTGTTGTGGTATACAATTTTTCTCTCCAGGAATCTATTTATATGTTTACCATTCATTCTTGCTTTGAATACTGCTGTCACATCTGGTCTAGTGCTCCTGCTATGTATACAAATGTTAGTATTATACTAATGGCAATATGTTTAAATACAGATCACATTAAAACCAAACAGCCATTCTTTCTATTTACACAAGGAAGGCTTAAATAAAAATTGTTCCCAACATTTTAAGCACAACATGGAAAAGTGTTCTCCCAATACATTGCGATAGACTGATAATTATTTATTAGGTACCCTAGTGTGACGGGTTACACACCTGGCCCAGGGTCGGATCCTTTGGTTTCTGGCGCTATGGTGACGTCGCCGCCTCCTGGTCGCCTCCTGTCCAAGCGTGCAGCTCCAACCCCTTGGTCAGATGATCACCAGCCTCGCCCTTTCCCGACTAAGCTTCCAATACCTGGTCACTAAAGCAACTGTACCGATCTCGGTCTGTCTACCCACGCTGTGTTTAGATCTTAGACAGACGGGACCAGCAGGGATTGGGGCCGATACAAGTTGAGTCCGACGGGGTGGCAAAACACAAATAAAAGAGAAAATAAACTCACGAGACAAAAATTACTGATAAAAAAAGGCGACAACCTTTTATATCTAATGTCCGTTATAAAGAAAAATTGTTCTTATTTCCCGACCCGCTCTGTGGACTATGGCACAAGCTTATCACAAACCTAAAGATTTGAATTGCCTACTCTTTAGAATTGTGTATGTCGGAGTGTGGTTTGGTTCGACACTGGGGCTAATTTCTATCGATCATTCGAAGTTGATTCTTCTCTTAACTTGAGTTGTATTTCTTCTTCTTCGTCGATTTAGGCTGGAAGTTCTCTTGTCTTGACTTGGGTTGTATTTCTTCTTCTTCGTCGACTTAGGCTGGAAGTTCTCTTGTCTTCGACTTGGGCTGAAGGATCTCTTGTCTGAGGATTCTCTTGCCCAAAGGGCGAGTGAATCGGGCCTGATGGGCGTTCAGGCTCTATCCCTGCCCGCGGTCCAGCTGCAACTCTCAACTCCAACTCATCTGATTTCTGTCGACTGGGGTCCTGCTTTTATTGACGCCGCAACAAACTGGGGTGGGTCTGTCGGCGCCAGGGGTTTTCTCGATAATTCCAATAGCCGCATTAATTCTGTTTCCCTATTATCGCTATTGTTTTCACCCCTACTTCCTCATAGTGCTTTTGGTGGGGAGGCGATATCCATCTCTCTCGGTCCTCGATGTCAGGTGACCGCTTTTCACTAATGAGATTCTGATCGAGCATTTCTTTCTTTTCTTTTTCCGCAGCCACGTGACCGTTTTTCGCTAATGGGATTCTGGTTGAGCATTTCTTTTTTTTCTTTTCTGCAGCCACGTGACTGTTTTCGGGCTAATGAGATCCTGATTGGGCGTTTTCCTGCAATCAATCGGGCGGGCTTATATCGTTCTTGTTCTAAAAAACAAAATCTAATTTTTCCTTTTTTTTTTTTTTTATTTAAAATGACCATCTTGGCCTTCTCTCACCTGGACTTTGTCAAACAGCCCGGCTAATTAGACTTGACTTCAGAAAGGATCTTTTCCGCCTTCTTGGCGCCCTCTGTGAGCCAAAAAGCAATTGTCCCTCTTTTTACCTCTTTGTTTTTCCTGATAGTCAAAAATCTTAATTATCTACATTGAAAATGTCTCCACTTTATTATTGTACCCAGGCTGACGACTGGCCGATGGCCACTTGGAACAGGTAGGTTGGGGAGAGGTGTTCCCCTTCACTGGTCAGGTCAGGAAAACCTTTTGACTGTCATCACATAGTTTAGCCGGCAGATCAATACCATTGACCAGGGTGTGACCATTGCAGTGCCCATGTGACTTCTTGTGAGAGTTGGATATAGGCTGTTCAGCATCCCAGCAGGGTCAACCGCTTTGTTGCAAATTTACGACCACTGACAATTCACCTATTTTTAATTATACTGATGTAAAAATGGATAATACTAATGTCAGCCATTTCTTTTCTTTTTTCTTGTTTGCCTGTATATAATAACTTTATTTTCTGGTTATTTGTTTAAAAAAAAAAAAAAGAAGAAAGAAAACACTTTATGCTGTTGCTATAAAAAAATGAACCAAATGTTAATATTTATTTATTTTTTTTAGGATGTTGCTAGCGCTCAGTACACCAAATCTATGCAGCTCCTACTCCGAGACCCAACTTTGGTAAGTTAATAGATTCATCTCTCAATTTGAACATAATAAGACAACTGTTATATTCTATCAATCTACCCTGTTGGCATGGCCTAGAATACACCAATTACATCACCTACAGCAAAGATGGCCAACCTGTGGCGCATACGCCATAAGTGGTGCATTGGATGCTTACAAGTGATGCCTTGCATCCTTTTGATGAAAAGAAACTAAGCCACTTCTACTCATTCATTTCAGTGATTTTATATTTATTACACGTCAGTTACAAATTTAACTCCTAATATTGCTGGTTTGGCAAAAACAAAGCAGAATCAAAAGACACATTAAAGTTATTTATGTTTATTTTGCTTATGTAAACATTATAAACTCTGCCATGCTCAACACCCCCACCCCCCGTCATAAGCATATATTTTTCAAATAAATAGATTTTATTATAACTTTGATGTATGTCTATATTACAACACGTACTGAAAGGAAGTTAATGTTTGTGTGGCGCATTTAAATTAATCATACAAAATATTGGCGCATGGAATCAAAAGGTTGGCCACCCCTGACTTACGGTGTAAAAACCTCACTCTAAAAAGTAATGCCTACTGTGTTTTTTAGTATAACCACAGACTGAATTGTATCTCTGGGCTAATATAACTTCTGTCCTGGTTTTACCTCTGGGCTCATATGACTAATGCCCTAGTTTTACCTCTTGGCTTGAGTATAACCACAAAACAGTTTTTGACATTAATTAATATTATATAAAATATATTCAGAAATAAATATTTCTTACTAAAGAAATATTAAGTTGCTTTATCAAAATCTTGTCATGTTGAGAAATTGACCCATAACTTTGCCAAGTTTAATACTTTAACTTCTGTGTCATAATTTTCTTAATTAAAAAAAAAAGTCTTCATTTTCATATAAAATAAATATACATAAATGTTAAAATATTCCAATAATATATATGAACGTTTTATAAAATATCACATGAAAACTCCAAAACAACTCTGTAAGAAGTTAATTGACCAAACATTAACTCTATTGGACAGTTATATTATTTTTTTTCTATTTTTTTAATTTATGTTTAATTAAAATTACTTAGAAGCCTGTGACCTAAATAGGCTGAAAAATGTTTTTATTCTACATGTTAGAAGTATTGGTAACTAAAGTCATATTAGAGGTATTGGTAACTAAACTCAATTGGAACACAAATTCGGCTTTCTGAGTTTCATTACATTCACTTTTGCACAAATCCCCATGTGGAAAGGCATGAATCCATGAATCCCCTATGAGCTAATAGTAGGGCAGACTGGGCTCTTTAGCCTTGGGTGGCAATCAGTCTAGGAGAAAGACAACTCTTCAAAGGAGAAAGAACATGGAGTTTACACTGACTATGATCCCAACTATGGTTGGCCTTAAAAATGTGCCATTTTTGCTGTGTTGCACAAAATTAAGAAATTAGATCATTATAATATAAACTTTCCCTAAAAATGAGATAGTTGCTAATTTAGTAGCTAATTGATGGCAGGGTGCAGTTTCTAAAATGGATCTTCTAGAAATTACCAAGTTTCTTTGGCCACAGGAATCAAGATATACTCACTGATCCTATCCCATTTAGTGCAATGGGGATGTGCTGTTTAAATAATGAATCCCCAGTCACCAGGCATTTTTTTTTTGTTGAATCTCAGAAAGGATATAAAATGTTGTTGTTTGTCACATGACCCTATTTACTTCATCAGATATTTTACAAGTTTTTTTAGTTTTGATTTTTTTTTTTTTTTTTTTTTTCATCTGTTTTGCAGAAATTAAAGTTTCCATCTCTGAGCTATTCACTTGAGATTGAAAGGATCATGTGAATGTTTTTTCTTTTAAGATAATTGAACAATTTCTTTTGATTTCACAGAAAAGTCGGGCAAAACACAACCCAGTTTACATGGACTGTCTGAAAGTTGCCGCTGAGGTAAGTTGAAAAGTTTAGCATATTTAATAAAATATCATTTTTATGTTCTTTCTGCTAAAAAAGGTGAAAATTTTACTTTCCTTTTCTTTTTAAATTATTTACATTTGGACTAATGTCCGTATCTTTGTTATCACTTTTCAGTTGTGGCACTCTCCAGCCTTCAAGGGTCTGTCAATCTGAGTAATGTTCTTGGAAATTTGAAGTGAACCTTTTATTTAATCTATGGGGGTAGATTATTCTCATTCCATTGTCCATGTCTTGGGATATCTCATCTTGTGTAACGAGCATGCGCGGAAACGTCCTCGAACTGCGTGTGTGTGTGTTGTCGCCGGGCACACCTTGGAGTACCATAATGGACTCGACCAAGGACTATAAGAAGAAGATGCGCGAGTCATTTGGCGTCTTTTCTTGGGCGACAAAAGCCATTGCGGTTGGTCGCACATCTTGTTCTTTTTTTTTTTTTTGTACTGCTCAGTTATTGCTTGCCCTTCTTCCATTGAGTCTGTACTACCCAGTCCAGGGATTGAACTCAACAATTACTATGTTATCAAATCCATGAACTAATACTTTAAACCACTGAGCTGTTTTTCATAGAATTTTAATTTTATTGCACATAACTTTGTATTTATTCTTCATTAGAAGAAGCAAAGGAAAACAAAAAGGAAAGATATTTATATTAATGGAAGTACGGACAACCTAAAATTAGTTTTCTATGAGATCCCCTCCCCTCAATGTAGTTTGACCCACTCTTTATTAAGGGACTTTTCTTTTTTTTTTTTTTAGCTTTATCCATTTTAGGAGAAATAAATTTTAAAGTGAATGACACCAAAGTGGAGGTTCAATTTGCAATGTACATCTTGTGCCAAAATGGACCCTGTGTTTGTGCCTGATAGGACATATTTAATTTTACAATGTAAATATGTTGCTAAAGTAGACACTGATTTTGTGTCTGTCTTTATGGGAATGCGTGTGTAATTTTAATGTGTAATCCTATCACTATTACCAACTATCTGACCATAATTAGTTGAAGATTGTCTTTCTGATCATCAGCAGCCATTGTGCCTAACCAAAATCTCTGTCACTGACTGACTTGTTAGAAATGGAGATGTTCTTTTTGTTGTTGTCCCATATTGTGTCTTGATTTATCAAAGGACAAAGTTTTCCTTCACCAATCAAAATGGCTTCTATTCAGTTTCTGGTCAAGCAAAAAGATTCTTAGAATTTTTTTTTTTTAAACACAAAATAAAATTGTTGTATTTATCTTGAATTTCCAACAACCATTTTAGTTACAGTATCTAAATATGGGGTTGTAAATTCTTTAAAAAAAAATTAATGACTCCTACAATGTTGAGAAAACCAATATCTGTAGCATGTTTTTTTATCTTGGAATAAGAGTGAGCAGGGGTAAATAGTGTGAGCTTTTAAACTCATAAATATTTTTTTATTAGCTATTATGCATCTGTCTCTATTACAAGTCTCCCTGTGATATACAGTGTCAAAAAAAATGGAAAAGACGGCATCCATTCTGAGAGTTCACTCAGGGATATAAGTGACACGAAGGAGTCAGTAAAAAACAGACACAAGATGAAGAATTTCAAAATGGAAAATTTATTTCCAAATAAGAAAAAGAAAAATTTGGCTAACCAAGGGGAAAGGGATTATAAAAGAACAGAAGTTACGAGCAATTACATATATATGACAAGATCAAGCCAAGAAATCAACTTATCTGTCTTGATGGGTCAATTGAGTTGATATCTCTACACAGAGTTCTAATTTGCCAAAGTGAGAGTCCTTATGCAAAAACAATATTTTGTCAGCCAGCAATTTCCCAGGAATCCTTTTCTTTCAGAATGACCTGAGATCCAGTGTTGCATATGGTTATTCATTGTTCAATTTGGCTTAGTACATAGTAGTTTTTTCCTTCTATAGTTAACAGATTTTGCGGTTTACTTTATTCTGGTCGACAGTCCTTTAAAAATTGAAGCAATTCGCTCACTGGTTTTTGTTCACTGCTGGTTAGACAGGAAACTACATCCTTTTTTTTTTTTTTTTTTTTTTTTTTTTGATTTTTGCTGTCCCCAAAGTTCATTACATAGGTTTCCGTTCATCCCTGACCATGTGCACAGGTGGAGGGGGGGTGCAAATAATGAGATGATTGTGTGATGGCCAAAGATCTAAGCAGCCCTCAGTAGGGTAGGATAACGTGGTCGCAGCAGGGCAACCTGATGGTGCCTGGAGTTAAGAGAAGGAAAGACAGAAAGAAACAGAAGAGAAAAGGAGGGGAAAGCTGATCAAGAACATATTCGCTCGCAAGTTTAAAACATTGTATTTTATTTATTTTTACTTAACTATCTTTCAAATTGGGATTTGGGGGGTTTGGGCTTTTTTGGCCTTATGCCTATATGGCTAACAAAATTGCATGTACGTCACAACAGCACTCATTTAGGAATTGATTACATCACTGTAAGTTGTTGCTGTCAGATAACAGTCCTTTCTACAAACTTAACAACCACCAAATCTAGACACTGCCTAAAATTGTTCCTTTTGCTTTCTTACATATGTTTTCATGGATGTCTGCAAGATGATGTATTAATAAAATTTCATTGATTCAGAACACTTTTTTTTTTTTTTTGTTTTTTTAGACAATAGTTACTTTTAAAATAAATATAATAGAATTTTAATTAAAAATTTTGTATCATTGCAAAATGTCTGAACAGCCATCCCAAACTAATGTTGTATCATCCCCAAGATGATTAGACAATGTTAATCCCCTAGCTCTGTAGAGGGGGAAGCATGTGTGATTTGAAATTTACTTAGTCGAGAATCTGTTTTATTAAATTATCCACTGGTTCAAACCTTGTCATGTCCCTCAGTCTATTCTAAGCTAATTTCATTTCAGTGTAACTAATATTTCTAATTTTTTCTCCAAGTTTACTCCACTCTCCAACATCATCTATTGTGCTCACTTTCACACTAATGTTCTTAGGAAAAGGACAACTTTGGGTTAAAATAGCAGGATAGACTGGGCTCTCTTGACTTGGGTGGCAGCTAGTCTAAGAGAAAGACTACTTGGGGTTTAAAATCCTAGAGAAGACAATGGGAAATCACCTCACTAACATTCCAAAAAAAAGTCCTGGCAATTCATACATATTAAAAGTAAAGAAATCTGTGGAGAGTCATGATTGTCTATGTCCTGAAGGTAAATGACATTAAAAAAATATAATTAAACAGATAATTTAGTAATACAATTTTCCTATTTATAAGCAAATCTGCAAGATTGATGATTAAAAATTGAAAACATTTCCTATTTGTCATATTTAAAAATATTTGTTTTTAATCCCATAAAATAAGCACACACACACACACACACACACACACACACACAAAGTCTGGCACAATGACCATGATAACCGAGCACTCAAATTCACATTGAAACATTAGTTTCTATATGATCACCAAAGTTAAGCAATACCAAGTTTGGTCAGTACCTCACTTGGGAATACCAAGCACTGTAAGCTTGGCTGTGTAAGTGGTCTAATGGATAATGACTCAGAATTGTTAATCAGAGAGCAGAGTTCAATTTCCATTGGGTTCATTATATTCACTTATTCCCTTGCAAAAGGTCTGTATTCACTGCTTCTCCTCTAGTTATGTGTTAATTAGTAAGACTTGTATTACTAAACTATTATCTTTTGAGATAATAGTTTAGTAAGACAAGTCTTACTTGTTCCTTCTTACAAAAAAAAAATCCTTACAATCTAGAAATATTTTCTGACTTATAACTTGCAAAAGGGTTGACAAGTCATAGGAAACGGTCAATCAAAAATTACCCTGTAATCAATGCGCTGGTGACAAAGGGTGATTTTTTTTTTGTTTTGTTTTTTTCTCACAATTGTAAAAACCTGATGATATAAGATGAAAATTTTCAATGTTGATACTAGTGTAAATAATATGCCTTATCTCCCAAAAAAGACTTAATTCCTCAAGCAAAAACATTTTGCATTAAAATATTTTCTGCCTTTAAATAACCTACAAAGGGTTGATGAGCCATATAAAATGAATGAATCAAGAAAAATAACAATAGTTTGTAAGATAAGCTATCCATGTCACAATCACTTAAATAATATTTAAGTGTTTTTTTTTCTCTATATACTTTCTTTACTGAATTGTTAATTTCTGATTGTAAATTTGATGGTTTTTTTTGTCTATAATTTCAGACTTATGTGTTGCATCAGCTTCACAAAAGTCTCTTTGGCGCTCTCACGCTGTGCATGGCATCAGATGATGCAGAAATCAACAAATGTACCAGGAATCTTAAAGAGTTGCGGTCTCACCATTTGGACATTAGGGAATCTTTTATGTAAGTTCTTTCTTTTTATTTGTTTTCTTTTTTTTTTCTTTTTTTGTCTTCTGCTCTTTTGATAGCATATACAAGGCCGGCTTTAAGCTGACAGTTCCTAATAGTTCCCCTGTGCATAAAAAACCTGCCACTAGCGTAATCTGCTCTCATCATGTCAAATAACACATAACACATTGCAGCATATACCTTGCGCCAATCTACATCTTTTAAAGAGAACATCAAGAATTTTTTCTGAATTCCTATACACGAGTGGTACCCAAATTTTGGGGGGTTACCACCTCTTTGCATACCAAAACACAACCATACACCCCCCCACCAAATGTATACTTAACCTTTGCTTCAATTTTCTTGGTCTTTAGTATTACATGTTCAATGAGTCTCTTAATTATTATATAAATGAGATACATTGTAAAGTGAAGGCAATATACACTTCAGGTATAATGGGTTTGTGGTGTATGTTATGGTTTAAATCTGAATCTGCCACCCTCTGATTGCCCACTCCCCATTAAATCTTTCTACTGCTCTGGTGGGGTGGGGGTGCAGTACAAAAGATTCCTTTGAGAATTATTGTTATATACTGTCTATATTTGAAAATTTTTGACTACTATTACTGCTTCTTCACTATGCCATGTCTTTTCAAGATGTGGCTGGTCATGGCTGATCTCGACTTCACATCCTTTATAGCTCTTAGCAATGTTTGTTTTTACCATCCCTCACACTTTCCGTTCTGCCATCAATTAATATAAGCACATAAGGTAGGTGGCCTGCTACCTCCTCCTGTCTCTTTTGCCTTTGACACATCCTGTGAGTGTTAGATTTGCCAAGCCCCTTTCCTCATGTATCCTAGAAATTTAAACTCTTTCTGATTGTGTTTTTTTTGTTTCCATTTTCCTTAAAACTTCCTCATTACTCACATGTTCAGTCTATAGTATTCTCAGTATCCTTCTGTAGAACCACATTTCTACTGCCTCAAGTCTCAGTATTCACTGCTATATATGAAGACCAATATTGCATAACAATTCAGTACTCTTTTGACTGTACTTGAATTAAATATGCTAAAAAGTTTCAAATATATAATGTATATATGTGTGACTATTCCTTTGAAGACCTTGGTTGTGCACCTGTAACAGTGCAAAAAATGCTTCCAATGGTTCTTCTCAAAGTTACAGACAATAAATCTTTTTCAAATGCACTTCTGTAAATGCGATGCAAATTTGTTCTCTGTCTTTATGCTTTTTATTTACTTTCGTGGTTTCAGTGCAAACCTCCCAGCTGCTAGGAAAGAAATTACCCGTCTAAACAAGTATAGCACCCCAATGGGCAAACTTTATTGCATCCAGCGTGTGATTGCTGCCCTTATGCGCTCGCACAAGACCCCACGATCCCCCACTGAAGGTAGGTGACTTTTCAATTTTTAACTCAACAACACAATTTGAAAATTGAAGTTTTTGAAACGCCATAAAAATAAATGTAAATATGACCAGCTTTCAACTCTATACACAGCAACAAGCTCAAAGATTCCCAAAAAGCATACCAGCTAAGCTATACTGATCAAAACAACAAAAGTAAGGATATTGGTTCAAATAATTGATAGAATAATGACAATGAGGACTATAGTGACAAAGCAGCAGATACTGGTACAGAAAACAGAATCGGTTACCCAGGGCTGTTTGTGTTCATTTTACATTAATGCCCTTGGGAAAGGCAAGAGTGTACTTCTTCCCCAGCTGTCAGTTCCTTGTACTGCTCCAGAAAGTACTTGATTCCTCCTGCCATCCTCTGTCTTTTACAAGAATCAAACCAGAACAAAAATGGAGTATTGCTGCTCTATCGAAACTGGAGCTGCCCAGTCTTCACATTCTAGCCTTGATAGAGTTCAAAAATGTCTACATGCTCACCATGTGGGTGATGAATCATTTTCCACCCCAACAGCCCCTTTTGCCACAGACAAAAAATTGCAAGCCTCTCACTACTCTATTGTTATTTCCATGTTCTGTAGAGCTATACCAGTTCAGACCTTTACAACTAAGATCCACACCATGTGATGTATGTGAAGTGTGTTCATTCTAAGCATTTTTGGTTAAACTAGTCACCATTTTCAAAGATTTTTGTTATCCTGCTATAATAAATGTTGTGTAAGTTATATTTTAGACAGTGTAAAATTTACTAAAAGACATGTTCTTGATTTCCAAATAGGGCCAGTAGATTGTGTCCATGTTCATAATTGATGTTATTAAGGCTTGGTTTCTTGTTTTTTTTTATGATAAAGGCTTCCATCAATTAAACTCGTTTTGCAGTACATATCATATTCATGTTTCACCACAAATATGTTGTGTAATGAGGTTGGTACTTACTGGTTTAAATGGTCTCCATATTGAGCTCTGGTCAGAGAAATGTAGAATATGTCATCATCAGTTGTAATGTGCCTAACCATGATTATTTATGGGTGTGTTTTCATCACGAATATAGTTCCCCCTGGAGTATCTAAATTCATAAATAATGTTGATCTGATTTTCATTGATGAGATGTTATTTCTGGTAAGTTTAGATATATTTGTAATTTTTTATAATAGATAATTTGATATATTAAATTTATTCAACAGACGTGACACAAAATTTATACCACAGAATTTATATACTGTTTTAAAAATGATGGAACACATTCCTTAAAAGGAATATTTTTCGTCCAATATTTCTTCAGAAAGATTCATTAGGAAAAAAACCCCAAACATACAAAAAATATAATCATGAACAGCAAAACTGAAAAAGGTGAATAAGGAGCCATGACTAAAATAAATTTATTACTAAAACAATAAATTGATGTAAATAAGCTTTCAGTGAGTATACAACAGAAGAAATTTGTACTCACAACCCACCTATGAGACACAGAAATTGAAGAAAGTTCACCTTCTGCCTCCACAAAGTCGATATGAACAGCTTCTAAAAAATGTAATTGTTTAGTCAACCAAGCTTTGTACAGTACCTTAAATGTTTGATCATAATATTTCAAAGTGCAACCCAAGTTGTTCATCAAATGTAGTCCTATTGCTCCCTCGCAAACTGAGTTAAGTGAATACTGTCACTGACCCCACTATATCTTATAGGAGTAGGTACACAATGTCCAATTAAAGTGGTAAATAACAGAACCATCCTTCACAAAAGACACACACACATATAAAATTAAATGCAAATGTCAGTGTGTCACATTTTTTCCAACTTTACTCTTAAAATCCGTAGCCCAAAACATTCCGCAATCCTGAAATTTTGGATTCCAAAATTTTCATTACTACAATTGTTTTCATTATTTTTTTTTTTAACATGACTTTTTTGCAACAAAGTTTTTTTTTGTACAATAACAATTTTTATAACTTGGAAATAAATTTGAGAATAATCAAAATTAATTGCAAAATCCAGTGACAGTCACCCATGAAATAAAAATGATTGTTTGTACAAGGACCTACCTACACCAAATTGTCTTTAAATTAATTGGTAGCAGAATTATCATTGAACCTTTTAAAAGGTAAGCTTAAATATTAATGCAATACTTAAATGCAGCAATCAATTTTGAGTTCTTCTGCAGTTTATTGTTGCCTATCATATCAACTGCTCCCATTGTGATGAAGGCCCAACCAAAAGCTCTCCTCAGGATTTAGCTAGCTTAAATGCCACCCTATTGAGTGGCTTTTAAGCTATTTAAATATATGTGTATATATAATATATATATAATTTACATATTCACCCCCAAGATGTTTTTTTTTTTGGTCACTTATTTGTTTATCTACATTGGTTGTTTATTTTATGACATTTTTCTTTTTTGTTTCTAGATGGCACTGACCGACCACTTTCTGATGTGATGACCACTGACGACCTCCTGCCACTTCTTATTTTCATTATTGTTAAGTCAGAAATCCCAAATTGGTATGTTTTTCTTTTCAGAGTCCTTATTTTTATAAGGAACTAGAAAATACAAAAAGTATGACAGTTGTCAGCACAGAAAACAAAATTGCTAAACCAAATTCAAATTCTGGCTGTGGCTATTTTTATTCACTTTGAAATGCTCTTAGGAAAGGCATGAACCCAGTTTTCTCCTCACTCTATTCATTCATTCATTCACTTAGCACAATTTGCACTGTTGTGGCCCCCCACCTCCATTTCTTTTGTAATTATGGTTCATGGTCGCATTCAAAGCAAAATAGTGCAATGGCTTGGTGGTTCTTTTGCACCGAGGATGTTGAGGTTACCTTGTCCCTCCTCTCAGAAGTTCCTCTGCCTACTGGTAAAGCTATTGACCTCTGAGACAACTCCTATGCCCAGGCTGATGACTGGCAGATAGCCACTTGGCACAGGTGGCTTGGGTGGCTTCAGTCTAGATAAGTACTAAATTGAAGTGTGAGGTTGCTTGACAGCACAGGATCAGAATATCTGTGCATTCTGCCTCTGAAGTGTTGTTTCTTGACAAGTCTGCCTAGGATCAGTGCAGTATTTGAGTGTCTCTGTGTACACACACACACACACACTCACACAAATACACTGGATTTTATGTGGATATTGTTAAAAATGATTATTGTTAAAAAACCAGAATGTTTTTTTAAAATTTGAAATGAAGGATTTTAATCATCAATTTTCAGAGTGCCCCAATGAATTGTTAACTATTTCTACTGAGTTGCAAATTCAGTCTTTACTAGTTGCTCTCCCTCCACCCTAAAATTACCCAACCTTGCATAACCCAATAAACATTGACATGTAAGAATCAATCAATTTTCACTTAGCCTTCTCTCCATCTTGTTGTTTTTCTTTGTTGAATAATCTGCAACCTCTTTAAATAATACAAAGTATCTTTGGTCATGACTTCAACTTCTATGATTACAAATACATGTTCCCTTTCTTGCTTAAGGCATTAATTGATTTGACTATGGAAGCTGTTTAGACAAGACACAAATTATCATTGATATTAACAATATCATTATCCCCTTGTCACTTTCTCTCAAGAAATGATGTTGGCAAATGGAAAATAAACTCTGCCTTTAATAGTCTCTGCTTAATGACAAGCCATTTCTTATTTATTGAATTTATACTCTAATCAAATGGAAATGCTAATTATCAGTAAGCCTAATCTGTACATTAATACACTTGTACCTCTGTATGGTGTGTGTCATGCTTGATATCACAGATACTGAGGTGGAAGCAGTAAGAGAGAGACATAGATGAAGCAGATTGCAACACGGAGAGTGAAGGGGAGGTCATCTTAGATAAAGGCAATTGTTTGTGGTGAGGGGTTAAATCCTGTTTTATAACCTCACAATCTGTTGAGGGCAAATTTGCCCCTGAACCACAAGTGACCTTTTGGAATTTTTTTCTTTTTTTTTTTTTAATCTTCACAAGTTTGTTACAGACAGCGCTAACCCAAACTGTGTTGACCATTCAAAAGGGAAACTAAGATAGAGGGACATAGAGAGTAAAACCAAGAGAGAGAGGGATGTAGAAAGACAAAAAGAGAGTGTGACACAGAGAAGGATTGGAGTGGGGATCATCTTAGATAATGGCAGTTGTTTGTAGTAAGGGTTATATCATGTTTCAGGACCTAATGATCTGTTGAGGAAATTTCAGTATTTTTAAGAAAAATTATCACTTTTCTTACAGCTGAGAATGGTCATAGTTTGAAAAGTACCAAGTTGCAGCATTAAAAAATTTATTACTCAGTTTGTGTAATTTATATGGGTCCTACTAGTTATTATTAAAGTACCATCAGTGACATGCCACTATGGCTGATAGAAATAAGTGCATACAAAGCAAGGGAGATTATTATAATTATCAGTTAAAAGACCTGAAGTTATATACATTTAATTAAAAATTACTTAAAAACCAATTGAACTGGAAATTGCTTTATTAATATTAGAGCATTTTAACAGTATTGCACTGACAGAAGTTATAAGAAATGTAGCATTTTTGATGTGCCATGATAATAAATACATACATATGTAAGAAATCTATTCATTATATATAGAAGGTTAAAATCCTGGACAGGTTTTTTATTTTCATTGCTTTTAGATAAGATAATTTTAAGAATTTTTTTCTCTCTCTCTGCAGGTGCTCAAACCTGGCATACGTCCAGCATTTTAATTTTTCACGTTCTTCAAACAAAGATGAATACAGGTCAGTATCTATTTTTTCTCCATTTTTAATTCCTTTTTCTTTCACACCCATTTTTTTTTCTTTTACTCTCTTTCAAACAACAATTTCTTATTTGTTTTACTCTCCAACTTCAATTTTTATTTTAATTCCATCATTCGGGATTATTCCTAATATGAGAGTTTTAAGTTTTGCTGTTAAAAATTTTGTACTGTTTCCAGATTATACTTAAACCTGACATAATTTTTTTTATTCCATTAATCATACTAAAAACCAGTTTAATATTAGAGGTATATCGGGAGTGAACTAGAGAAGAAAGATTTATTCTCCCATTTGAATTTCTCCCATACTAGGCATTACTATATCCATGATATAATAACACCAATATTATGCGGACGGGATGGAATGGCTGAAAGGAAAAGGAATGACAAAAATGTTTTGTTTTTAGACTTTTATATCACTAAGACATGCACAAAACCATATATATACATGTCCCATATGGAGAATAATATATCATATGTATCCACACAGCAAAACAAATTATAAGAAAAATAAAAGGAAATGTCTTACATATAATATGGAGACACTCCTGTATCTGGAGAAGCCATATTTAAGACTCCAGATGCAAATGGGCTTCATTCTTCTATGTACCAGATGAGAACATATTCCACAAGGGGGAAACGAGTTTTGAGTTTTCCCAAATTGAGAACTGTGAGCTGGAATTTCATTCTATATCTTAAAAAGATATATTCCCAAAAGGAAATAGCACTGTGGACTTGTAAGCCTACAGGGGAGGCAGATTTAGCCTCAGTCTGGGCCCCTTGGCCCAGGCTAAAAAGAAAGCAACCTTTCAGTTTGCTGCTGTAAAGCAAACTGAAATTTGACTGCTGCTTTCATCACTGTATAGAGTGAAGTGGTCCATCACATGACTAAAGGGAGACAATCTCCTTCTGTATCCTTACAGAGGGAACACATAAGAAAGAAATGAATCTACAAGATAATAAATGTGCCTTTACTTAAATAGATTAGTCCAATTGTAAAAAAAAAAAAAATATATAGCAAAATATTTTCTGTGGAATGTTTTCTTTAGGCCTTCTGGTTGGGACACTTGTCAGAATTGAAAAATATTGATTTTTTTCTTTATTTTTTGCGAGGGAGTGAGTCTGTTCATAATGCCAATGCATTTAGGGTTTATTTTGCAATGTTGTGCCTTGAAAATGTACTTACATCTTGATATCTGAAATTTTTTCATGCTTTTATTAATTTATGTAAATTTTTGCTCTTTAATTAAAAATGTGGCATAATTTTAAGAATGTATATACAATGCAACCTCGGTTCTCAAACATCTCACATGTCAAACAAATCAGTTTTCAAACAAAAATTTGAGATGAAAATGCCTTGGTTATCAAACAAAATTTCAGTTCTTGAACAACATTGCCGAACTGAGTTAACCAGAACGGAATCATTTCTGACTCAACCACTGTGTTGAATACATTCGTCTGTTGTGGCATGCTTTTCTTTTCCAGTTTTATTTTACTGTGACTTTTTTTTCTCAACATTGATTCCTATTGGAAAAATACTTTTGATTTATAAATGGCCTTAAGGAACAAATTAAATTTGTGAACCAAGGTTCCACTGTATCTGTTTGCTCTTTAGTGGCAAACAATCTTTTCATAAAAAAAAATTTTTTTTGAAATATTTTGCCAATGAATTGCTTGTTTAAAATATTTTCCTAAATTAAAACATATAAAAATGCATGTATCACTTTGTTTTTTATTTAAAAATCCTTTCGTAAAATAAAAAATCTGTTTTCGTACACAAATATAAATGTTGTATTCACATTTTCAATGCACAACATTTCTAAATAAAAGCTAAGTACAGATTGTTCCGTAAAAGTGATTTATTTGACATTGTATTGATATTATAAATATGACTAACCCCCAAAAAAATTCTAAATCAATTAAAATAATCAGAATTTTTCATTTTTGATGTGTCATGTCCTAAGGAAAGTCTAAAGAATACTAATCTACAAAAATTATTTCCTAAAAATATTTTTCCTGTTTTTTTTTTTTTTTTTTACAAGTGAACCCGTCTATTTAAGTAGTGTTGTAAATGTGTGATTTAATAAATACATTCACAAGGCAATATAATGCAGATATGCTGAAATAAAATGTGCACTGTAGACAATGTATAAACACTTGCAGGTATTAGTAGGAAGCTTCATTATGCACTGAAGTTACAGGCTTAAAAAAAAGCCTATGGATTTGACCCACATGTTTGAAAAAATTAGTTTGCCAATTCTTTTCAATTATCTGCATGAAACCTACTTTCTCTAACCCCCCTTAGCATTAAACACACTCAAACCTGCCCCATAAATATCAGCTCTCAAAGTCTTGCTGTTTGTGGTCAAAGTTGCAGTTTGTTTGACTTCCTGCTTTATTTGCAATGATATTATCATATATTATGGCAGAGTAAACATGGCCTGAGTTATGGCAGGTTGAACATTGAAAGCCAATATTTACAGGGCAGATTGAATACTAAAGGATTAAGCTAATGGAAAGCGAAAGAGTTTGAAAGAAGAAAGTAGATAATGGTGACCAAACAAATGGTTTCTGGGGAATTGTGTTGGACAACAGGCTACTGCTATAATGATCTGAATGATGGAGACTTTACTGACAGATTGATTAATGACATCTTAGTCACAAAACAGTGAAAGCATTTTTATGACTTCAGTTTAAAACCTCAGCCAAATTGATTAACAAAAGGTTGATACTACTTATACCTGCAAATCATAAAATTAACCTGGATATGCACTACAGTTCAAAAGTTTGAGTCAACCCCTGGAATTTTTTAAATTGGCCCCAAAAGTAGCTGTTTTGTACTTTAAATAGGAGAAAAATATCATATATGATTTTTTTTAAAAAAAAGTGGGGGGATGCATGATTTTTTTTATTACAAAAACAAAAAAAAAAATTTTATGATTCTGGTTTGGTCTCATCAAAATGTCCTCCTTTTCAATGACTGTAAGAGCTCCTTTTTTTTTTTTTTTTTCCTCTCTCCACTCTTCTGTCAAGTTCATCCCATGCTAGTTCTGGAAGTGGCTTCAAACCTTTTATACATAGATTAGAGAATGAGCAAAGAACAATGATGGAGACAAAGGTCTTTTTCTTTTTTCTTTTTTTTATAACAGATCAAATGATCTAAACTAATATACATTTTTTTTTTCATAATGTTGGAGTTTTAAGAAATTGTAACATGCATTTACCTCTTTTTTTTTTTTTTTTTTTTTTTAACTAACTAAATACCCATACTATGAACAATTATTATAAATGGACTCTTACCACCTTTTAACCCCTTCCCGGTGTATATATATATATATATATATATATATAAAATATAGTCTTAATATATATATATATATTTATGGGATAAAGGGATAAAGTGCTCAATATCAGAGATAGAGCATTAATGTAAATATAAAAGTGAACATAGAAGTCAACACTTAGGTTGACAGTTTTTCGGATAGCCGAGAAAAATAACAGCATATATGGTCTGATGATTGCATATAGCATGAAACAGACTGTCGTCTCTAAGTGTTGACTTCTATGTTCACTTTTATATTTTATATTTATATATATATATATATATATATATATATATGTGTGTGTGTTTTTACCAAAAGTGTCTTTTTCAGATACAAACAAATAAACACATCCAAAACATAACATTCAAAAACCAGCTACAGATGTGTTTACACGTTGATCTTGATTATTTTTTATGCCCTTCTGTGCTTGAAACAAATCCAATTGTCAACTCACATCTCTGGTAGAGGTGTTAGCCATTGCTTGGGTACTTCAAGGTGCCTCTGTTTTTTTACTGTATTAAAAACAAATTAAAAAATTTGCCTGAAAAGGAAACTTTTTTCCCCAAAATAATTGGCAGGGACAGGGTTAAATTTCTGTATAAACATTTTCAGGAAGACCTATTTTCTAAAGTTTTTTTTTTTTTATCATTATGCAAAGTCTATTTAAGTTTCCTACTCTGGACAGAACTCCATAGAAATGACCATGAGACAATCACCTGAATCATTTCCTAATGTTTATTATTTTAATTAATTCAGTAAACTGAATACTTTTTCACTTGTTTAAATAAATCAGTAGTTTTAAGAAAATCTAATTAAACAGGTCACTTTTACTTATCTAGATACGTCTATAAATGTTGTTTTCAGCTCCATGAGACTAATTGTAGTAATGTGAAATAACCATTGACAACAATGCTTATTATCATGACCACTGTATATTTTCTTAGTGTATTTTGATAAATTCTTTCTATACAAACAGAATCCATTAAAAAAAATATTGAAAGAAACAGTTTTTAAAATTTGAATTAAAAATAAATAACCTGAAATATTAAAGGATGTACATAAAAATTGTTATGCAAAGTAGATTTTACCACTTATGTTGTAAATGCCATTTTAGTAATGTATATATAAAAGTTTGATAGTAAATCTTTTGTATGCTAGTGGTACGGGACTGGGCTGTCGTACTAATGTAAGATATGGGTATAGACAAAATTTAATTTCATGCAAATTTATAAAATTATAATTTTATGAATTACCTTCTTTTTTCCCCCCCGCCTCCTTATAATCCTTTCTATGATTCCAGTTACTATTTGGCCACAATTGAAGCTGCATTAGAACAGATCAAAGCTGGTAAAGTCAAGATACCAAGTTCAACTCCTTCCAAAATGCAGGTAATTTGTTTTTTATTCTATTCTATTTTCTTAAAAATATTCCATCTTGGATATCTAAAATAGCCGTACAAAAGTAAAAATTATGGGAATGGGACGTTCCAGCATAGCCCTTTTGGTGTTGCTGATTCAGTGTGGCCAATTCAGCAGAGGAGCAGTTGGGCATCAGGTTACTACTTTGTCGTTATAGTCAAATTTGTTCTTTCACTCTGTTGTAACCTAGGGAAGGTTAATGAATAGAATAATCAAACGAAGGTTGGTAATGAAAGATAACACTTAGGGCAAGAACAACACACATAAGATTCGCCAGCAGCATGTAGTCAATTGCTAGAAGTGAGTCAAGCAAATTCCACAATGAATCTCCACTGCAGACCAACATACAGTATTTACTACTCTATTTATGTGAATGGGGACATACCCATTATTGTCTGTAGGTATGCTACAACATTCACACTCTCTCTTTCTTGTTTAGCAGTCTAATTAGTACTTCGTCGTTATATGTTCAAATAGTCCAATTTAAGAAAAAGAATAGTTGGAGGCATTTTTTTTAAAAGGATCCTTAATTCCCTAAATGAATAAAAAAAAGTCATATTGAAAGTTTGGTGTTTTCAATGCTTTTATCCTTTTTTTTGTGTGGGGGTGTGTCTGGTTAAAGACAGTCATGTCAAAACAGTCTGACGTCTAAATGTATGTGCCAAATAGTCCAATTATTTTTCTGGTGTCAAATCAACCATGCCAAATGGGCCAAACCCAAAGATTTTGGTTACAGCTGCAAGAGAATTTCTCTGTTGAATGTCTAATAAATTAAAATGTAATGTAACATGAAAACATCATTGTGTATCATAAGCAACTATTATGACTTCTCTAATGGACAAATGTTTTTTTCAAACTTTTCTATGATGTCTCAGTCATCAATGTGCTATGTCTTACCATTAAATCCTTCTATTTTATGTCTAGTTTACAGCCATATCACATTGAAACACCAGTTCATCAAACTTGGGAATATCAGGTACTTGGATGTGCAGGTGGTGTAATGGATAATGGCTCAGAATTGTTAATCTAATCAGCCAAGTTCCAATTCCAGTTGGGTTCATTATATTCACTTATGTGCAAATGCCCTTTGGAAAAGTTTGAATCACCTCTTCTCCCCACAGCTATGGATTAATTAGTAAGACATGTGTCACTAAATCATTAACTTCCAAAACATTTTTACAATGTAAAAATATTTTCTGTCTTTAAATAACCTTCAAAGATTTGATAAGCCATAAAAAACAAATCACACAATCAATCAAATGCTGATTAGCTACACAGACATCTCTTTTAGGTTCATTTACATTATCTGGAATATAAATTTATAAAAACTACTGTAGCCACAAAGTGAGGGATCAGTTTATATATTGATTGTAATATAGAATTGATCCTACACTTTATATCCACGTGATAATTTCTTATTTGTTAATCAAATTTTGATTTGGTATGAATCCACCTCTTCTCCCCACAGCTATGGCTTAATTAATAAGATTTGTATCAGTAAATCATTATTTCCCCACAAAAATTTTTACAAAGTAAAAAATATTTTCTGGGTTTAAATAACTTGAAAAGGGTTGATAAGCCATAAAACACAAATCAATATTTCATGTCTCCATCGTCTGTCTGGTTTTGTTTCTTACTGTATTTGCTTCTTATTATGCTCCAATCAAGCAACCTTTCACTCATTCTGCTATCTTTATATTTTCTTAAAAGTATTCCATTTTGGATATTTGAGATAAGTCATAAAACAGTAAAGATTTTGTTTCAAGAGAATTTCTCTTTTAAACATTCAATAAATAAAACTGCAAAGTGGCATGAAAAATTATTTATGATTTGATTGTCACAGAAAAGGAAAATTCACAATATTTTTTTTTGTTTTTATCATCATAGTAGGCCATAGTATAGTACATATAGATTCCTTATTTGCGACCATCCTGGTAAGACGATAAACTACATCCAACAGCAAAGCCTCTGTTCAGGAGGATTTGAGGATCATGGAACCACCTCTTAATTGCAGGTGTTCCCAGGGTGGTAGCACCTGTTAGGTTCCTAGCTATGGGCAAATAGTTAACCCCCACCAAACTGGGGTCAAAACACTATGAAAGTGTAAAAATAGGTTTTAATATAGCAATATGTTTTTGTTTAAAAAAAAAAAAAATTACCAGCAATTTTTGTAGAAAAAAATATGTCCAGTGATATATTTTTGAAAAAAATATTAACAGTAATACATCTTTGGAACAAAATATTACTAGCAATACATTTTTGAAAAAAAAAAAATATTAGAAGCAATAAAAATCTTGTCGGCATTAAATAACCCTTAGAGGTTGATATACCGTAAGACAAAACAGACCAAACCTTCTGAATGCCAAAATTACTTACTGGTTAATTTATAAGTTTTTCTTCTATGTCTTTATGCTGTAAAGATCTAGTTTAAGAAATGGAACTGATGATATCTTTCTTCTCTTTTTTTTTTTTTTTTTTTTTTTCTTTTTTTTTCCTTGAAAAATGTCTTGAGAGTCTGTGTATGAACCCAATGTGTCTATAAAAAGAAATTGAATGAGTTCCACCAGTTCAGACCTTTACAGCTAAAACTTACCATGTCATGTATACAGGATCAAATCCCCCTCATTCCCTTATTCCATTGGTAAGAAGGAAGTTTCATTCAGACAGCTTCGTCCCAAGAACCACTATTATGTGCAACAGACTCCCAAGATGATGATTGCCTGATCACTACAATATTACTGTCTTTAGTAAACAGTTATCTACTTTCAACAACCTCATTTTAGTAATCCTCTACTTTGAATGGCTCTTGGGCCTTATGAGGTTTCTCAGCTATACATTAAAAGACAAACAGTTACCAAATGTTAAGAATACCAGGAAAGTATTATACAAACTCGTATGCTTCCAAAATAAAAATACAGCCAACAGTCAGTACGGCAGATGCTATCCATTTTTCTAGAAGTAACAACAGGCATGTAACATAGCAGTTATCAGTGCAAAAAGTGGTACCAGTATGCAAAATCAACCCTCCTGCTGATGTTGTCACATTCACTTTTACACATACCCTTTGAAGTGACATGAATCCATCTCTCCCTAGCTGTGGGTTAAATAGTAAGGCAGACTATGCTCCGTAGCCTTGGTTGGCAATTAGTCTAGGAGTTGGTCACTACTTTCACAGGCAGCAAGGTGGTGGCATTTAATAGCTAAAATAACAAAAATGCTGTGACCTACATTATTTTAAACTCTACAATTAATCTCAACTAACCTAGAAATCAAGTTCTTAGTAACAAAAAATAGACTTTAGTAATGAAAGATATGGCCTAATTGGTAGGATCACACTGCAATTAAAGAAGTGGTTTCCATCATGAAAGAAGGGAATTGTTTTCTGGTGGGTGGCATATTCTTTGTTAGTAAGTTAGTTCTTGATTTCTGGACCGATTGATATTAATTACACTGCCAACTCAAACACGTGTACCCACTAAAAATAATGTTTATTGTAATAAGAAAGTGATATGAAGTAGCTGAACACCACCACAAGATGGACTGGTTTAAAACAATTTAGACAGCACTCTCTCTCTTACTGAGGTAGACAAATTAGCAGTTAACTGTTTATTACATTAGTCTGTGTTCTCAACTATATACAATATTATTCTCCGGAATAAACTACTTTTAATTTTCTATATGTGTGTCAACCTTTCCTATTTACGACTCAACAGAAGTAATGTCAGATTAAGAAAAAGATTCATCTAAAAATAGACCATCTGCAAACAATATAAACTGATTGAAAAAGAAAAAGAACCCATATAACTAACTACTTAGTCTGGGTCTTATGAACTAATTAAAAGCACTTGAATTCTGTCATATATTTGTACACATACATACATTGTACATATCTTTCTCATATATTTATACAATGTAGGTATATACTAGGATGTTTATGTGTGTATGTGTAGCCTAACAAGTTAACATATATATACGCCACCTTAACAGAATATATATACATTATATTACATACACTATATTAATAGAAGATTTATACATCATATTAATAGCTCATACATGTATATGACAATTCTGTCATATAAATATACATATACCAGGTTTAACAGCAAAATTGTCCAATTAAGTTCTGAACTGTTGTATTTTAGAAATGATTAAAGATATCTTACTGGAATTCTCCAAGGTTTTTATAACACTACTGGACTCTACTTTGAGCAATAAGAATGTATAATTACTCTGCAAGCTTAACAGAAGAATCGTGATGAAATCGCTCATAAACAAAAATGCCATGTTCATCATTAATTAATCATAGCTAAGGATAAGGAAGCTCATAAAGGGTTGAAATAAAGTTTAAATATATCTTATTCCAGGATCATTTTCCAACTTATTCAAGATGATCTTCACTCTCTCTAACCTTCTAACATTCTGTCCTGGAGTAACAAGATGTTTCACAGGTTTCACGTACAGTTTCATTTACGAGTCTTTTTTTTCACTGCTCTTTGGACTGTCATAGCTAAAACTCCTCTCTCACATGCCAAATGTCTTATGGATTGAGTTGGATCTTTTCTAATTGATTTCTTTAGCTATAAGTTGAAATGATGTTCCTTCTTCCTGTTGTAACCATCTGATCCAGTTTTCCTCTCTACTGTTCTCTCTTTTTTAAACTTATTCATCATTCTCTTGATGGTTCTTGAATGGACTTTGAAGTTGGAAGCTAGAGTATGAATGTTGGTACCATTACTGAAAACCTAAATTAACTTTTTCCTCTCACCATGGGTCAGTTGGGAAGACAGTGTGTCTGATACAAAACAATTTTAACCTGTTCTCTTTTTAGCTGAATAACTCAAAGGGTTTTTCAGTGAATCTTACATCAAATGGTGTCAAGATGGCTAAACATCTTATTTGAAAACCTGGAAAAAAAAAGAAACTAGTTTAGGTGGGATGGATATTTATCCTGTTACATGATTTGGACAATTTTGCTGTTACACTCAGTATGTACATTGTACATGTCTTTCTCTTATATTTACACGTTATAGATATGTATGTACTGGGAGGTGTGTTTGTGTGTGTGTAGAATATATATATATGTATATACATGTATATGTGGAACCCCATTTAGAATTGTAGAAAAAAATCAATAGATTTAAGTAATGTCACTAAAAAAAAAACATAATTCTGTGTGAAAAAGGGTCATGTAGAAATCAACTTATTTTTGTGCAAGACATAGTCTCCAAATTCAAATTTTCACATTAGTATTTATTAACCAATCAGTGATGTTATCCTAAATGAGATGCTAACTTTTGAAAAACGGATGACAATATTCTTTGTTGTTCCCTACAATTGAAAGCTCACTCAAGAAAATTATTAACAGTATTTTCCCTCCCTTGTTATGTAATCACATTTCAATCATACTAACGTAATTTATTTCTGTTGTGTTGTAAAAAAAGAATAAACATTTTTCATTGAACTTCATTTGCAAGAAATTTGCAAATTCATTTCTTTCAACTTCAAAGAAAGCAAAGATTGCTTTTATACTCAATAAAAATTATTTAAATTTGTAGAGCTGTGTTTGAAGATTATTGCTTTACTTCACTTTTCCCCCCTATATATATATATATATATATATATATATATATATATATATATATGTATATGTGTGTGTAAGGGGGGGAAGTGTATAATGTATATATATTTGCACAATGTAGGTATATACTGGGATGTGTGTGCGTGTGTAGCTTAACAGGGAAGGGAAATTGGCAAACTAAGTTCAAATTCCGGCCTTGTGTGTTGTTGTTCACTTTTATGCAAATATCCCTAGGGAAGGCATTGATCTATCTCTTTCCACCCACCTACCCCTACTATAGGTTAAATAGCAGAGTAGGTTGGGCTCTCTAGCCTTAGGTGTCAATCAGTCCCAGAAAAGGGACTACTCTATATTAAAAAAAAACAATCTCAGAGATGACAACAGGAAATCACTTCACTATTGTACCGAAGAAGTCATAGCAATTCATATAAAATAATGAAAAGGAATTTGTGATCAGCTATACTCACTCTACATCCTGAAGAAAGATCATTAAAAAAAAAATGTATGTAATCTAACAAAGTGTATGGGGCTGTTGGGGAGTGGGGTTCTGGTGCAATTGCCTAATGCAGTGGTTTTCAAACTTGATAAAAATCTACAAGTATAGATGACTTGTTTCAGGTTCGAAATTTTGGGTGGCGGCGTCACTTTCAAATTCAGGAGTTGGTGGAGGCATCGCTTTTGAATCAGGAGTTGTTGGAGGCATCACTTTCAAACTTAGGAATTGATAAAGGCACCGTCTTCGAACTCAGGAGTTGATGCCATTGGCACTTTGAAACTGTAGATGATGCTTGTGACACTTTGAAACTCGAGATGATGCTTGTGACACTTTGAAACTCGAGATGATGCTTGTGACACTTTTAAAATCTAGGTGATGCTTGTGACACTTTGAAACTCGAGGTGATGTTTAGAAAGATTTGAAACTCTAGGTGATGGTTGAACACTTTGAAACTCTAGATGATGGTTGGGACACTTTGAAACTCTAGATGATGGTTGGGACACTTTGAAACTCGAGGTGATGGTTGGGACACTTTGAAACTCGAGGTGATGGTTGGGACACTTTGAAACTCTAGATGATGGTTGGGACACTTTGAAACTATAGATGATGGTTGGGACACTTTGAAACTCGAGGTGATGGTTGGGACACTTTGAAACTCGAGGTGATGGTTGGGACACTTTGAAACTCTAGGTGATGGTTGGGACACTTTGAAACTCTAGGTGATGGTTGGGACACTTTGAAACTCTAGATGATGGTTGGGACACTTTGAAACTAGACGATGGTTGGGACACTTTGAAACTAGACGATGGTTGGGACACTTTGAAACTCGAGGTGATGGTTGGGACACTTTGAAACTCTAGGTGATGGTTGGGACACTTTGAAACTCGAGGTGATGGTTGGACACTTACAAAATCAAGATGGAAGTGTCAAGTGAAAAATTTCACTTCTTTTCATTGAGTATTTGTAGTTTTGTATGCACTTTTATAAATTCTTTTTTTTTTTTTTTTTTTTTTTTTACAGTGGTTTAATTCATCAGATGCGGGGGTTGAAGAAACCAGTGCCATTTCCCCCATATTTGAGGGCAACAATGAAAAAACAACTGGCTCTTGTAAAACGTCTGAAGTTACAGCCATCGACATATTCTTTCAGGTAAATGGATTACATTTTAACTTGTTTTGAATTTTTGTGTTATAAGTTCCCCAAGATTTCTTCTCTAATTCAACAAAAAGAGAATACACTCTATAAAATTTGAAATGTAATAGGGTAATGGTTGAAACAAGGTATTCCTGCTGTTAAAGTGAATTATTTTGTGGTAGCACCTGTTAGGGTCCCAGTTATGGGCAAATAGTTGACCCCTAACGGGAGTCAAAACACTATGAAAGTGTAAAGTTAGGTTTTAATACCAGAAATACTTTGTAAAAAACAATCATTACCAGCAATACACTTTTTGAAATAAAATATTACCATTGAAGGAAAATTATTACCAGAAATAGATTTTTGGAAAAAGATATTACCAACAATGAAAATTTTGTCGGCATTAAATAACCCATTGAGATTGATATGCCATAAACCAAACCAAACCTTCTCAGAAAAATCTGGGAAAATTCACAATGTGTTCCTTGATTAAGTTTATCAATAAATATCAAATATTAGATCTGTACCTTTTTGATAGTTTTAAAATCTAAGTACCTTGAAATTTGACTTCATTTTTGCTAAATAAGAACTTCTGACATTCATAGTGCCAAGGATATTGCATGTACTTATTTGTTACTTGTTAACAATAGTTAATGTTTGTTGTAGATTACATAGATATAAACAGCTTCGTAGGTGTGTCCTTATCTTGATAAGGACCTGAAAATGGCTAAAATTCAAAAAGATGCTGTCCACTTTGAAAGCTTCACATTTACAAAGTATGTCAGCTAAAAACATCCAAATTATTTTTCCTGTCATTTATGAACTAATAGATTATTTCTTTGTACTAGCCATATTTATTCATGTGACAGGGATGTCAGTACTTCTGTTTAAAAAAAAAAATGGTTCAATTTCTTGTTGATATCCTTAAAATTGCCTATTTTGATGACATTAGCAGACCAGTTAGGCAGTTTAAGAAAATTTTTATATTTTATCACATGCCTGAAGATCACATGACAGAATTTTCACTTTGTGGACAAACTTTTGTCTAGGATTAAAACATTTTTCTCAAACAACTTGTCATGCCAAAATCATGGTTTTGTCGATTTTGGCACCTTATAAATTTGATAGTTAAGAAAATGTGAAGCTTAAAGTTTGTACCTCTATAATTTTCTATAAAAAAAAACAACATTTTAGGCTTCATTTTACCTTTGTTCCAAATAGTTTAGATGCTGTGAACCCTTAAAAATGGTTCTTCAGATAATCTACAAGATATTAAACTGTACAATTGTTGCAGATTCATTTTTTGAATTCATGGAGAAGGAACATTTGTATATATTGGCCACTGAGAGACGAGATTTTCAAGCCCTTGTGAAATTCTGGACGGAGCCTGTATGACTCTGCTTTTTCAATAAAAAAGACTACTGTGAGCAAAGGAAAGAAGAAATTGTTGAGAAAGCAATTAACTGTTAAAGAGGAAGGAAGGCATTAGCACCCACATATCAAGAGAGCTGGTCCAGTCAAGGAGGTCATAAATCAACATGGGAAAAGAAATAGCTGACACATTCAAGGCAGATTCAAGCCCCAGGACAGAATATTCCTTTCTGTGCTTTCCGAAAAAGAATTTAAACTGAAAGAACTTTCAAGTTTAACTTTCAAGCAAAGTACTATAAAAAGCTTTCCAGATAACAACCTGTGAAAACAAAAACCCCTTTGTGCTGAGACATCTTATTATTGAGTATTCTGTTAAGAACAGAGTTGGATGTGTTTCGTATTTTCTGCCTTGTGCAATTTTTTGCTTCCTCTAAGTTTTTAAAGGGCATAATCTTTTTTGTCTTTTAATCTGTCTTTTCCAAAAAATTGTAACACTTTTTCCGTATATCTAATCCCCTTTTTGTAGCCTCAGAAAATTGTTATCCTGCAATAATAGGTGCACAAGAGGAAACTTTTGTGCAACCTTGTATTGTACTTTTTATCTTTTTTTTTTTTTTTTTTTGGAATATTGTAAAATGAATGTGTTTTTCTTTTTTAAAAATTTTGGTTGTCTTGTTTTGTAATTTCATGCCTATTCTGACTTGCTGTTTCTACTAAGCTTTGTGTCTGGCACAAGAACTTGGATTTGGTGGGGGATTAATTTTTTTTATAATCTTAATGAAGATGACCAGAGTGAACAAAGTAAATCCAGCAGAAGTTTAACGTTAATAATTCAAGGTCAGGAATATCTTTAAAATTTTATAAAAAGTTAATAGGGGCCCAATTTGGTATGTAAATTCATTGTAAATTGATCCACCAATGGAAGTCCAGAAAATCCAAGTACAGATAATGGAGGAAGTTCTGTATTGGTATTTGTTACAGGCTTCCTTCTTTAAATGCCTTGTCTCTTCAAAATGCAAGTAATCATGGCTCTCCTTAGATTTCTTTCTCTTTATTATTTGTGATTTGCCATTTTATCCTGGGAAAGATAGTGGAGTGGTTTCTAATTACCTTCTCCTTAGCTTGGAATTCTGTTTTCATAGTTAGTTGGGTAGAAGAAACAAATTCAAATCTTTCTTTCAAGGGTATTTGTGAAAAAGTGAATGCAACAGACTAGCTCGGAATTTGAACTTGGCTCACTAATTTCATTTTCCATGCCAATATCCATTGCACTTCCTTGATTTCAGTGCATCACCAATAACGCCTGAACTTGTTGTTACAACATTTAATGTGCATCTTTTTTTTTTCTCCCCTATTTTAGCATGTAGAAGCTGGTGATGAAAATTCTGTTAAAGCATTTCTGAACCGCCAAAACAAGATGGCTGACGAAGCTCGTCAGAAACTATGCCATCCGTTATGTTCATGTGATAAATGTGAAAACATGATCTCCTTCGCCATGATTCTAGTTTGGTCACTGCCTCCACTCGAGATGACCGAGGATACACAGGTAAGTCATTTAGTTCCACCCCAACTATTTAATTGTCATGTCAACTTGACTCAACACTTCTCAGTTTCTGAAATATATTCTCACAGAATTCCACCATGACCAAAAAATCCAGTTAGGTTAACATTAATTCAACTTTTTAAAATATATATATATATATATATATATATATATATATATATATATATATATATATATATATATATATTCAAGTAATTATTCAAATTTAATAAAACCTTCTGTATTTATTGCATCAATAACAGAATTATTTAATGCTTTCTTTGGCACTACCCTTTGATCAGTGGCCTGGTGACAAAGAGTGATTTCATTTTTTTTTTTTTTTTTTTCTCTCCAATTGTTGATTTCAATCTTTACTGGAAATAATCGCAAAACATTTCTCCCTCCCCTTTTATAGGCAGAAGTTCACAAATGATAAGCTACTTAATAAAATAGGCTGGTTTGCAGTTTGATCTGTCCAGATCTGCTTTATCTAGAAGACAGATCACTGCATTTGCTTGTCCGATCTTGCTTTAGTGTGTCTACGCCTATTTGTAGTTTGTGAACTTTTTGCCTTCTCACCTGTTAATTTGCTTTGCATATATTGTTTGTTTGCTTGATTGATATTGTTTCATTTTTTGCCCTGTTCCTTTTTTCTTTTTCTTGCAAATTTTGTTAATTCTGTTTGTTGGACAGTTCTGTCATTTGTTTTGTATTTGACCATGGCTACTAATGCAACACTAAGGATATAGGATGCAAGATTTCAAGGTTGATAGTGAGGCAAATGGTATCCCTTATCTCCCAAAGACAACTATTAAAACAAAGATATTTTGCAAGCCAATAAAGAATAAAATATATGGAAGTCACAAAGTAATATAAATGTTCTTGTTGGATGAGTGTTGCAATAATGATATTAATATTAAAGAAATTGATTTAATTTCTATAAATAAAACAAAACCATTTTTCTAAACAGATTGAACTTTAATTGCATTCATTTTATTTGTACAAATACATTGATCACCCACTTGATGCTCAGTAAAAATTAATATCATACATCCACAAATATAAAATGCAAGGTGTATTCAAATATATTTTTCTGTGTGATGCTTTATTTATTTTTTTTCACATTGCACAAATAAAGCACTATGATGAGTGACTCTTTGATCCTGCCCAGAAAACCAAAGTATGACACTTTGATCCTGGTCACTGGATCCAGAGTATGATTCTTTGGTCCTGGCCTGTGGACTAGCACTTTAACCCCCTGTGCAGAGAGTGATTTTTTTCTTTACCAATTTATGCTAATTTTGATTGTATTTACTCTAAATGTTTAACTAAATTTCAATGATTTAGATATAGTACAAGGCAGCATACACATATTACCAGCATAGAAAATGAAACCAATAAACCAAGTTCCATGTGAAACTGTTTTTATTCACATTCTTGCACTCTGCCCCGGTGTCAGCCAGTTGATGCTGCCTATGTTCACCTAGCACCAATTGCCCAAGGGAAGGTATGAAGCCAAATTACTGTATTTTGCCCACCACATGTTATCTTGCCAAAACATATCTTGGGCATTCCACATTAGTTGACAGAGAGGTGAATGTATGAGCATTTGGGTAAACCACTTCTTCATAACTTTTTTTTTTATTTCACCCTAAGCAACGCGTCCTGGTTTATGACGATAATGTCCAAAGCAAGTCCTCTGATCAGGTTTTGAGGAGCATGGAACCACCTCTTAATTCCTGTTGTTCCCCGGTCCACCCTGACCTGGGGTGGTAGCACCTGTTAGTTGACCTCCCAACCTGACTCAAAACACTATGAAAGTTTAAAAACAGATTTTGATACCAGAAATGCTTTGTAAAAAATAAAAAATAAAAAAATAAAACAAAATAGTATCAGCAATAAATTTCTAAAAAAAGAAAATATTACCAGCAATAAAAATCTTGTCAGCATTAAATAACCCATTGAGGTTAATATGCCACAAAACAAAAACCAAACAAAAATCACCCTAAGAAACATTATTAAAATCTTAGAAATCAAAATGAAGGCAATACACAGGCTTCATAATGAATTAAAATGGTAAATTTATTAAATTCTTGAACTTTCTTAAATCATTTCACCTCCAATCAAGGTGATAAAGCCACTAATACTCAAGTGGTTACTGAGAGTAAAAGAAACTGAGAAAACATTATTGAGGAGAAAAAAGACAATAAAAATACCAGGAATTGAGTAGACAGATGACTATGATTGACATTGCATTTAAATTTTAGAAAGTCATAGTGGATGGTAAAGCAACAAATCGGAAGAGCATACCACAGGCGAGAAAATGCAAGAGAAGAAAACAATGAGAACTATAAAAAAAACAAAAAAAAGTTGATTTTTGTCAAGGGACCTCAAATATGAAATATTTTTCTTGTCAATTTTATGTCCTTCAATGTAGACATTCATGGTCCTTCACAGATTCCTTTCCTTTATTATTTTTGTATTGTCATGCATTTTTGTGAAAGATAGTGGAGTAGTTTCATATTACCTTCTCCATGGTTTTACACTCATAGTAGTTTTTCTTTTAGACTGGCATCCAGCCAAGGCTAGAGAGCTTAATCTGCCCTATTATTTAGTCCATACCTGGGGGAGCAAATGGATTAATGTCTTTTGTAAGGGTATTAGTGCAAATGTAAATGCAGTTGACTAGGCCAGAATTTGAACTCTACTTGCTGATTCCATTTTCTCTACCAGTAAAAAAAAACGTATTTGTCGGCCTATTGGGCATACTCATGCATTAGACAGACCCAGATTTTAGCATGGAATATTTAGGGAAAAAATTCATGCATCACAACAAAAAAATCCATATTATAACCTTACCTTTATGTGACCTTCTCACTAACCATGAAGAAATACTTAAAGTATTAGTACAAATTATACTAATGGTACTTTTTTTTTTAATAGAAGTGAGGTACGGTTTAATTACCTGGACATGTTTTGGAAAAGAAGAATTTTAGTACATTTCATCATGCATTTATTGAAAATTGTTGTAGCTGTTTTTTAAGGAGCATCATACAGTCAATTCATATTAGCTACAAAGAAATCTACCAGTATCAGTGAACACTGATACGTATGATAATAGGCAAAAAAAACAGAAATATGGTACTTGTTCATAAATAACATCCTATGCCATACATGCAGAAAAGCAAATTCCAATACCTATATATCAACAAAAACACACACAATATACCAATCAAAGCAAATATTTCTTTAAAATCTGGGGGTTTTGCAAAACAAACAGCAAAATATTGTACAATTCCATAAATTTCTTTTTTCTTGGGTGAATTTTTCAGGGATATTTTTATTGATATCATGTTTGTTCACTTCCAGGAGTCCTGGTTTCATAGCTAAACTCTTTGCATGCGCTGATTCCTGGTAGACCCCACTTGTTTTGTGACTATCATGTCCGTCTCATACATGATACTGCTGTCTTGGATGCAGGGTCATTTTTTGGTGCATTTATTTTTTCTTTTTCTTTTTCTTTTTTTTTTTTTTAAATCCACATCCAATAACCCAGCAAACACAGTATTTGATGACAAAGAATTCATGATTTGATACTTTTAATAAAATAATAAGGGAGAGAACTGATGAAAATTTTTTTATCAACAATTTAGAAGAAATATATAGTTTAAAAAATATTGTCCATTTTATATTTAATTTGCCCCTTCTTGGTCATCTCTGTTCTTTTTTATTTTATTTTTCCTAACATGGCATTTCTTCATCCTTTATTTTTTTTTTTATTGTTTTCTTTAGCCCTCCATGTGGCTGCTGCTTCAGGCCATGCTCAATTAATTGATATTTTGGTGTACCACGGCGCACTTCTTGATGTCACAGACTACATGGGCTTTACCCCTCTTCATCTTGCTTGTCAAAAAGGATACCAGAGTGTGATGGTAAGATAATCAGTACTGTCAACATTTGCTCTTTCAAAGACTACATTGCATAAACATTATGAATAAGCTTTCTGTTCACACCATTTTAACAATTAACTACTTTCATATAAATATTTAACTATCCTTACAATTGAAATATCATTTTCATTCTTGTTAGTTTAACAATGATCTCACATGCTTCAGCTAAAAAAGATATGATTACATCATGTGATTTTTCAATGTTCTTCCTCTATATGTCACATCCTTTCAAGATGTAGGCGATCATGACTCCCCACAATTTCCTGTCCTTTGTAGCTCTTAATAAATTTTGTTCTTTCTCCTAAATTTTGCTCCACCATCCATTTACTCAAGCTCACTAGGTAGGTTATGTATTGTTTGTCTCTCTATCCTTTAATCTGTCCTGTGAGTATCAAACTTTCCAAGCACCTTTTTCCCCATTATTTCAGCTATCTCTGATAAGTATAAGTATACTTTTTGTTTTATTTTCTCTAAAGTTTTTTCGTTGTTCTCCTGTTCAGTCGATGGTATTCTCAGCATCCTTCTGTAGAATCACATTTCTGTTGCTTCAAGTCTCTTCTTCATCTGTGAGGAGATTGTCCAACATTCACTGCCATAGAGGAGAATTGATACTGCATAACAATTCAGTACTCTTTTCTTTGTCACTAACAAAATTTTTCTGTTTCTTAATATTTTGCTTAACTTTTGGAAGTCATCTTTCACTATTCCAATGTGCCTTCAGATTTCAGCATCACGCTTTCCGTTGTCTGTTAAAACACATCCCAGATATTTGAGTTGTTGTAATTGTTTGATTTTGGTATCTCCCAATTTATAATTTGCATGTTGGGTTGGATTCTAGTTTTTCACAATATGGCTGATTAACAGCCTCGTTTTTAAAGGCTTGGATATTATGTTCAGGGATTATTTTATTTTTTTTTGTTTTTATTTACATATATGGAAGAGAATTATTTTGTTGGTGATTTTAGTTTAGTTACCAGAAGTAATTGATTTGAGTGAAGGTATGAGTTATATGCTCAAGCATTATTTACAAAGTGCCTAAGGCAAGAATTTGGGATGATGAAATCAACCTTTTCGGTTATTTTATCTGGGCTATGACAAGTTATGCAATGTTTTATAGGATGATCAAACCTTGGATTTACATTGAAACACTGGTTTCCATACGATCACCAAAGTTAAACAACATTGAGCCTGGTCAGTACCTAGATGGATGACCACATAGGAACACCAGGTGCGGGTGATGTAATGAATAATGGCTCAGAAATATTAATCAAAGAGCATTCCTGTTGCGTTCATTATATTTACTTACATGCAAATAGCCATGGGAAAGGTATGAATCCACCTTTTCTCCCCCTCCCAGTTATGGGTTAATTAGTAAAACATGTATCATTCAATCGATATTATCTCCCTCCACCCAAATTCTTACACTCTAAAAATATTTTCTGGCTTTAAATAACATAAAGGACTAATAAGCCATAGAAAATGAATCCATCAATCAGTATCTTATGTCTCCATTGTCTGCTTCACACAAGCTATGGTTAATTAGTAAAACTTTTATCATTAAAACCATTATTTTCTCAAAATAAAAAAAAAAAAATGAATTGCATAAAAAATATTTAAATTTCGGCATTAAATAACTGTGACACCAAGCCATCAGCCCGTGGTCAACTCCCAGTCGTGTCACGAAGCTGTAAGGTTTCTTCTACCAGTGTTTTGGGGTTGACTCTTTGTTGCTGCCACCAGCCTGTGTCCTGGTCATTCAGTGGTCATCGCTAATCATCAAAATTGTTGGAAGTAGATAACGGTTGACCTGAAACTTAAAGAAGTTAGTATTGTAGTGATCTAGAAAACATCCTTTTGGGAGTTTGTTCTTAAGAAGAAGCTGTCTGAATGGAACTTCTGCCTTACCAATGGAATAAACCTCAACTGTTGGTGGTTTTCTTTGTTTATATAAACATGTCTTCATAATGAAATTGCCATTTTAAATATATATATATATATATATATATATATATATATATATATAATATAAATGAATATCATAAAGTTGTCTTTAATAAGAAGTATCAGTCTAACACTTTTAAAACCTTCTACAATTCACATATTGAAACCCATTAGTTTTTCTGGTTTTGTTTTTTTTTACTGTTGTTCACACAATACATGGTTCAAGAGTCACTCAAAGTAGAGGGCTACTGAATAAGGTTGTTGAAAGTAGATAATAGTTGATCCAAGACTTGAAGAGATTAATATTGTAGTGATCAAAGAAACATTCTCTTGGGAGTTTGTTCTACAAAGCAATCATTCTTGGGAAGAGGTTGTCTGAATTGAATAATTCTCAGTTGTCATTGATTTGCTTTCTTTGTTTCTATAAATATTTCTTAACAATGAAACAACCTTATTTATAAAAAAAAAAGAAAAAGAAAAAAGTGTTTTTTCTAAAAATGGTTACCATAAAATGTATCTCTTTACTCAAATGTATCTGTTTGAGATTTAAAACCTACAATTCACATTCTGAATCCCATTATTTTTTTTTACTTTTTTAATGCTTTTGTTTTTATTTTTTCAGCTGCTGTTGGTTCATTTTGGTGCCAGTCTGCAACTGACAGACAATGATGGCAATACTCCACTACATCTGTGTGCAGCCAATGGACATGTGGAAGTAAGTATTTTTTTTCTTTATGTACCATGTACTTTCAGGACGTGAGCAATCGTGGCTCTCTACAAACTCCTGTCTTTTCTTACTCTAAATACCTTTTAAACCATTACCTTTGTCCCTGCTTTGCCATCTCTTTATATGAGCTTGTTAAATCAGATGTTGTTACCCAGGTCACTTTTGCTTGTATTGTGACCATTTTGCTTAAAATTCATATTTTCTTGAAAGCTTGGAGATTTTCCAACATATTTCTGTGAAATTTCACTTTCCAAAATATATAGTTTATAATTATAACTTGGAGATATGGGAAAAAAAACGAAAAGTGCCAGTTTAAACATATGCCAAGAGGTTATGAGTTAAATAGATATTTAGATATATTTAAAATTCATGCCTATTTTTATGCTTAAATGGGTGGGGGAGAAAATTTTATTAAAGCCTTAAAAGCAGACATTTTGAAAATATATAACCCTGTTCCCTTATTGCCCTTTCCTCACATTTCCTCTCCTTCACTCCCTGTAAACCCCCCTGCATCCTAGTGGCATTATTGCCTTGCTTGAAGCAAAATGATATATATATATATATATATATATATATATATATATATATATATACAGGAATATGAGAGGCATGTACTGTGATCCAGAGAGGTTAAACTCCGATAACACGTGTGGGCTGTTGTTCAAAGTTTCCGTGGCAAGTCTTTTGCACCATTACTTTGTTATCAACAGATCCAAAAAGTGTGGATGGTCCGACACAAGCCTTCACCACTTTATGCAAATCATTGTGTTGGTTTTCTGACAATTGCATCTAATTAGTTCCACACAATTCATCAATAACAATGGTTCAGGGATAAAGCACCATCAATCAGTAAGCATCACTTGACTGCATGAAACATGAAAATGAAATGAAGCAGCTAACAGTGTTCCTGCTGCACTTTCTTTGCCTGCAATACTTTCTCCTGTACTGTTTGTGGTCTTTTGTGCTATTCTCGAGCCGGCCTCAAAAGTCATGCCCGTCATCGACATTCAGATAATTAGTGAGTGGTCATCAGAACTTCATACATTGAATTCTATAGGAGAGTCCATATATATAATACAAATTTCATTAAAGACAATTGACAAGACATTGCAATTAAGCTTTCTATTTAATTTTTCTTGCCTGTATAAGTATTTTCTTTTTTGGATATAAAGAGTGTAAAAATTGTCAAAATGCTCTGTAGATCTGAGCACTTTTGGCTATTCTCTTATCCATTATCGAGGATGATTTTTATTTTTAACTGAATGTATGGATTTTTTATGTATGTATCTAGAGTTATAGACATGTTTATTTATTTCCCAAACACAGCGTGCACAAAATATAAACCAACATTATTTATATAAAATAATGTTATTTCTTTGTATTTTTTCAATCCAACACTTTTACATTAAGTAATTTTTTTTTTCTTATCTTTGCTCTTTTGCTACTTTTTGATCTTTTTTTGTCTATATTTACATATACTTTTAAAATATCCTTTTTTTTATTTTTTTAAGGCTTTAATATTTCATGCAATTTCTATGCTCCCATTTAATTCCTAAACTTACAGTTTAATCAGTCCTTTCTTTTTTTTTTAATTCTCAAAGAAAGCCATCTCCCTAATTTCTGATTTTAAAAATGAAAAGAAAAAATTTTTATTCAATATTTATCAGTCATCTTCGAAGTTGGAGGATTCCATTTGTGCACCCAATTTATTGAATAGTTTGGAAAAGTAACATGTATTACAATATTTGTATTTTTATTCAATAAAAAGATATTTTCATTTTCTTGCTAGTGTGTGAAGGGCCTCGTGTTCAGTGATTGTGGAAATGGCAAATTGAATATTAATGCAACAAACGATGCAGGTAATACACCTCTTCATCTGGCAGCCAAATGGGGGTTTGGTAAGTGTTTTGAAAAAATATTTTTATCTGCTTTCTTACTTCAGATCATGTTATCTTTGTTGTGGATGCCTTGCCATGGAGTAGTGGTTAGCCAGCTAGTCTCACAGATCCTTGTTACTGTAATGAGTTCAACCTTCACTGGGTGGTTGGTTAGCTTCATCAGACCACTGTAAAGGACGACTCTTTCATTTCTTATAAGTTCTGGCAGGGTTTTCTGTCAGAATTGATGTAAAACTCACTTAAACTGTTCCCCTTTTTGAGAGATATGAACAGAAGGGAGAATGTGTCAACGTTTGATGAAAACCAAAAAGATGAAGTGAAATGCAATAAAAAAAAATTAGGCAGAAAAACAAAATTTTTATGACTTGATTTACAACTTCAAAGTCTTAACATCGTCTTCACACTAAAAGTCTCACTACAAATAAACTCATTGTTGCCAGCAGATGAAAATGTATCAGAAAAATGCCAAGCACAAGACAACATAATAAAAACTGCCAACCATGAGTCACCTCATGTTTGGCAAAACTAGAGAACTACAAAGATGAAAATCTCTGTCATTTGCAGTTAACAATTAACTAACAATCAGAAAGATACTCACAGGTAATATTGAAGGGACAGAAGAAAGCAGTGAATAATGTACCTAATGAGCTTGTGTAATTGGTTGCCAGGACAGGGATTAGAAGGGATAGCAAAAAGACAAAACTTTCTAAAAAGGACAGGAGGTTGTAGAGAGTCCTGATCATCCAAGAAGAGATATGGTATATAGAACAACAACAATCAGAAAAAGTCAGAAAATCTTATGTTCCAAGTATGATTAAATAAAAAAAAAAAATTTTTTTTTAAATACTTCATCATTTCCTGCAGTTGCTTATATAAACTGTATATTCCAGTTTTGACAGAACAACTGAATTTCCAATGCATGTCTACATATTAAATGAAAATTTCGATTGCACTATTTAATATACTCCCTTCATGAAGGTTTCAGAACTGAACTGACAGTCTGATGATAGACGGTTTTTTTTTTTTAATCATTTACTGCCTTGATCTAAACCTGAGGTGACATGGACTGTGACTGGGGTTATGAGCTAACATAACGGACAAAGAACACGTCATCATATCATGTTTAGAACCATCATACTACCTGATGTTTTGGTCATGTGAATCCTATTGTAACATATTTAGTATTTGGTGACTAGCAATTCACTTCAGTACAATGTCTTTTTATCTCTTCATCATACTTTGATCTATCTATAAATCTATAAAATTTGCAGATTTACTTAAACAAGATTTATTTGAATAAGAAATTTGTCTGAGTTACTTACTTCTGTGTTTTGTTCATTTATTCAATATTGAAGTTTTAGTGACAAGACCGTCATGTGTTGCTACCTAAATTTTTATGATTGAGAAAATTGGTTTCTTGTTTTGATTTGGAAAGGAAAAGCTGAAAATAGACAATGTCAGATTACACTGTACTGTTGAAGTCTGAAACTGTAATAACAAATGTTGGATTTACATTCCTTTATCCATGCAGAAATCAATTGAAATTTTATTCAAGAAACAAGGTCTGAAACTAATTTTCATTTTACTCAAAATGTCTGAACCCCAATTGTGATTGTTCTCTAGAAATAAGGTCTGAACCTAATTGTGATTTTACTGTACAAACAAGGTCTGAACCTAATTGTGATTTTACTGTATAAACAAGGTCTGAACCTAATTGTGATTTTACTGTATAAACAAGGTCTGAACCTAATTGTGATTTTACTCTAGAAGCAAGGTTTGAACCTAATTGCAATTTTACTCTATCCATTCAGAACTTGGACAATCATGGCTCTCCACAAATTCCTGTCCCTTGTAACATTAAACAACACTTGACTCTTTTAGAATAACTATTGATATAAAAATTCAAGAAAGAATTAACCAATTGACAAGTAGCAACAATTGTAATTTTCAATACAAATTGTAAAATATATGCAATTGTTAAAGATGAAATGGAAAAAATTTAACTGAAAGGACAGGATAGAACTGGTATTTTTAATTTTAACATTTTTTATTATTATTATTCTGTAAAATAGTCAAACAAGTATCTTCCTCTTAGTATTTTTCTTTCTTTTAACCAGTGCATTCTATTACCTTCCTAGCTGTGTCTGAAGTTCAGAAATTATTATTATTTCATAAATTATTTAAACTAGTATCCTTATTTTTTATTATTATATTTTGGTTGATGCATTTTCTGAATTTTCTCAAAGCTATACTGTAAGCAACCTCCTATAATCCAGAATGTGTTTCAGCTTAAATATCCCAAAAAGTGCTGATAAGCCATAAAAGAAAAAAATTAACCAATCTATAAATCTCTTATTTCTGATAATTTTAAGAGAGCATGGCACAGAATTCCTCATCTTTTTTTTCTTTTTTTTTTTACAATCAATGTTTTAATTTTCTTATTATCACAATGTTTCAACATTGTGCCCTCTAGCCTTCTTCAGATGTCTGTAAATCCAAGTAATCTTCAGGGAATTTCAAATTAAACCCTTTGTTTAATCTACAGAACTAGATTGTTCTCATCCTGCTGTATATATCTCATCTTGTTATTTTTTAATACTGCTTCATTATTGCTAGTTCTATTTGCACAGAGTCTGAACCTCTACTACTTTGTCCAAGGATTGAACTCACAGTTACTATGTCACCAAATTCTGAAACCAATCCTCTAGGATTTTTTTCTTTTTCTAACTTTTGCTCCCACTGGAATTAAAATAATAACTTCAGATCCAAATAACCAAAATTCTTTTTGTTCTTGAAAATTGATCTAGTCATCAAAACAGCAAAGATGATGATACTTGTCCAAACAATTGCATGACATTTGTTCATCTTAAAAACCTAATACAACTGTCGTCATTGTTACTCCTTTCATTGCCCCTACCATAGTTTATAATCATTTCACTCCAAGCAAGGCAATAAAGCCACCGACTCAAGGGGTTACTGAGTGTGTTAGAATATAAGAAAAAGAAGAACCTTATTAATGTGAAAAAACAAGAATTAAGAAAACAATAGATGATGAGTAGTAATATATTAGTAGACTAGAAAGCAAGAGAGCTCCACTAGCAAGAAGTGCGAGAAAAGAAACGATTAGCATTGAAGTTACGATTGCATCTAACAATTTCAACAGTAAAATGATGAGACCTCGTTTCTATGTGGGTGTCTCTATCACACAGCTGTATTGTCACATCAGAACAATAACATTTTTACAAAAACCCCAGAAATGAAAACCTTAATATTTGAGTAAGTCTTATTCTTGATGGCAACAACCCTCTTTTGAAGCATGTGTTAAGAGCATCTGTTTGTTGCTTCAGTTAAACTGCAAGAATTCAATACAAAATCTTCTCTTTTTAGATAAAGAATATGTGTTAACTGAAATAATTAGACGAAACATGCTGTAAATTAACAAATACAAATATAATTATAATATTAAACTAAGACGTCTTCTTCGCTTCCAACATCCTTCATAATGGAAACCATCTTTCTATTTTTCAGAGGAAATAGTGCGGAACTTACTGGCAAATAATGCTTGTACGGACATACACAACAGAAAAAAACAGACTGCCATGAACTGTGCACACAACACACATGTCCAACAGCTGCTCCTCGAAGCTGGGGCAGCTAACACATCCAGATGGAACTTCTATTCAGGCGAGGTAAGTCTGGGATTTCACATGGTGACATGAAATATTGACATGTATTCATTATGTAATCAGTTTTTGTTTGGGCTCCTGCTTAAAATATAGCCTTTTTTAAAGCTGAAAATAACTTTTAACTATATTTAAACTGTTGCTCCATCAGTCAGTTTGTGATAAATACATGTAGTTTGTTCAGCAAATCAACTCTCTATAACTTTCTGGATATTAATCAACCACAAGGTTTCCCCTCATCCAAGGGTTCCCAACCATTTTATGCCCCACACCCCTAGGAAATGTTGAATCATTACTCACACCTGCTAAAAAAGTAACATTACATTTAAAGATGAAGTTCAATTTTAAAATTTTGAACTGTAGACCTTACTGCAGGTGGACAAATTCAACTTTCAGTACTCTGTATTATTTATATTAATTTTCAAGGCCTTATTGTTAATTTCACTCAAAATTGTTTTCTGTCACCATAGCAGGATATGACAACACAACTATGAAATTCAGACAAACTATTATTGAAGGATCAGAGTCACCTTCAGTGACCGGATAAACTTTTTGTACCACAAATGAAGTCACATACAGAGTGATAAAGGTTATCAGATAATCTTATAACCCAACTCAAATGCAACTATAATTTGGGCAATTTGAATTTAATTAAAGAAATTGTAACCCTTTAAAATGCATCACAAATGTGAACATAAAATTCAATGTTTCCTTTGTGCCTGCTTCTTGTCCATGATTTTATCTAAACAGAAGAACCTTTTTGCTGACAATTGGCAGGTCTGCCCATAGATTTAATCACTTCCTACATTTTCTCTTTCTGTACAGCTGTACAAGAATAATTTTACTCCTGCAGTAGTCTACCTATAACAATATTTAACATGGCATACAGACGAAAAGGGTTAAAGAAAACGATTTTATTTTTTTGTCAGAAAGGGATTCATTTTCTCAGGATATTGAGAACAGGTTGAAAAAGTTACGCAATATGATTGTTACCATTCAGTGAGACACAGCTGGCAGGTTTAGAGGCCAGAGGTTAAAGTCATATCCTTGGAAATGTGAATTATGATTTTTGCTGTGTCTTTAAAACCCAGTAATTTTAAAATTTACTCCAAAATTTGCTTGATGATGAAATGGAACTAATGTCTTTAATTTAATTATAAAATTAAATTCGAAGCTTTCAGCTTCCATTTTTGAAACATGGTTAGAACTTTGTAGTGAAAAAAAACATTTTAAATCAATTAATTTATAATATTAATGCTCTGTAAATTTACATTGAGCACTATTTTGTAAAAATAAAAATATCTATAAGAACACCTGATTATATATCTTACTGTTCTTTCTTTTTATTTATATATATATATATATATATATATATATAAAACACAGACACTGGTTTGTTGTGTGTGTGTAGTCCTTCATGGTTGAGTGGTAAAGCATGACAGATCAAAGGGGGATGCAGGTTCAATTCATGCTGGAGGACACATTTCCTTTACTTTTATTCCTAAAATGTGCAGGCCAATAGACATATTACACACTGTTTAGTAAATAAATGAAAATGGGGCATCTATTTCAAATAAGTGTCTTCTATAATAATGTTGGAACTAATATATATGCGTATATGTGTTGGTCTTTCAGCAATGAATTAATAATTTTTCTTAATCTGGCATTATTTATTATTGCTACAAACATTAAAAAAAACAGAAAAAAAGAAATGCATGTGAATCCAGTAAAATAACATTTATAGTAATATGTCATATTTGTGTTATAACTGTTTTATTTCATCAGTTATTGTTAATAATCTTTTATTGTGACTAATTTATAAATGAAATTTTTACATATATATTAAAGGAAAATCACACACACATATACCTTATATATAGATACAAGTTAGGAAAATTAATAACAAAGTAGAAAAGATTTTGTGTGACATGTTTTGGTCTATCAGACTAAAGTGATGTTTATTTTGAAGTAACTACACATGTGCACAAAGCAGAGATGATGAAATTTTAAACTTAAAATTTTTTTTTTTAATGTGTTTGGATATTTAATCTAGCCAATTTAATTTAGTTTCTTTTTTTGTTTTGTTTTTATCACTTTATTAAATATTCCACATTGTAATAATAAATCTCCCAAAAAAGGTGAAATTAGGCACAATAAGAAAAAAACAACTGGTAACAAAATAATTACAACACTAACACACACTAAAATCAAGAAGTATAAGCAATCAATTGCTGATACCCACTGACGAGTGTATGGAGTAATTCCCAAAGGGTTCATCTACAAAACTCTGGGGTTGGGATGCTAAAGGTAACATCAATCAGCTAAGTGACAAACCTTTTACTTGTATTAATTATATATATATATATATATATATATAACCAATTTGTGACTGGTAGGGATAATTCCAAGGAAGATATAAATTCAGAGATAGCTCAATGTGAACTACAGAACATTATAATAAGGTTATCTTTATTAGACTAATTTGAAATTGTGTTGATTTGTCCTGCCTAAAATAACAGGCCATATCGGTCAATTTGCTGTATTTCTTTCATATCTGATCACACACACCACACCACCCAATGTATAAACTTTCAACACTTTAAAGAAAATAATTCTTGACCAGGTCATTCTATTTTAGTTTTACTTCTATCCTTTCATTTCTTCCTTCTTCACTTTCCCTTCCTTTACACTCTCTCTCTCCCCCTCTCTCTATTTCATTTTTTAAAAAGAATTTTATATTCAAAAAACTTTTTCTTCCTTCCTCTCCTTCTTTCTTCTTCCATTCTCTCTTGCTTTCCCTTCCTCTTGTTAATCTAGTATATCAGTCCAGATGAATTGTCTCCATTTATTAAGAACTTTCAGTCTGAAGAGATGAATATTGCAATATTCACAAAATAAATTATAACCAAAATGGATCTTTAAGGTTTTTCTTGATTTATTATTATATATATATATATATATTATGAAATGGACAAAGTCTGACAATTATTTTTTTAAAGACATTTTTATGCTTATACGTTCTTTTTATAGATACAAATATTTAAGTAAATGCTCTTCTGTGGCCCAATCGGTTAAGGCATGTCAAGCTATATGACAGTTCTATATAGGATACAGGTTCAATTCCTGTTGGAGGACGCATATTTTCTATGAAAATTTCTCGGACATTCAGGCCAGTAAATATTGTTAACACTGTTTATTATAAACAGAGCATTTACTTAAATATTTGTATCTATAAAAAGAAAACATAAAAATGTCATAAAAAATGTCTTAAAATATATATATATATATATATATATATATGTTATGAAACAGATATAAATATATATTCTCAGATAGTGCATGTCTATAGAAGAGAAAAAATGAATAAAAAGATAAAAGATTGCCTTGATAAAGCACCTCATAGGAGGAAACATGTCACCTGAGAATAGTTTTTCCTCTTGTCTCTTTTTATTCATAGTGGTTGACTTCCCCACATGTTTCCCCAGTGACCCTGATGGAAATGCTTCTCTTCTAAATCTCTTTTTTACCTCTATCCCTGACTCTTGTCATACTACATAGGTCTGCCCTCTTGGTAACTTTGATCATGCAATATTGTCTGTAAACATCTCCTTCCACTCCCCCACAAGCCAAGAACCTCTTACCAACAGAATATCTTTCTTTTTATCAATGAGCAGTTTTTGACTTATTCCATGATTTCTTTTGTGATGTCCCTTGGAATGAAGTTTTGAATCATCCTGTTCAAAAACGTGCATCTGAGTGAAGCTTGCATCAATGCTTTCATTCCAGCAAGGAAATACCAAGTTAAACCATGTTCATCTCCTTGGTTCTCACCTGCATGCTCAACCCTATAGCCTACAGGAATCACTTCTTCCAGTTGTACCAGAGCTACATGTCTGATTGGAACAGATGTTTCTTTGTCTCTGCTCATAACAAGTGCAAGCATGTCCTCAATGAAGCAAAGTTACTGTTTGCTGATAGAATGAAACAATGTATAGCATCTTGCAAGTTTGGTTGTAAAGATTATTGGCAGCTCTGCAAGAGTTTGCTGAACAACAGTAAATCTTCAATCCTTCCTCTATTCAGTCAATTCGAAATCCTGACATCTACAGCAGATAAGGTTGAATACTTTGCTCAGAAATTCTCTTCCAACACTTTACTCATTTGGAGTACTCACACCTGATTTCCTCCCTAGAACTGAGGCTCTACAGAGGGATATACACCTAACCCTGTCACTGGTCTCAGACATCATTTCCTAATTAGACTCTCATAAGGCAAGTGTTAATGACAGGATACCAGCCGTCATCCTAAAGAAATGTGCTCCTGAGCTGGCTCCAGTTCTCTCCAAACTCTACAACAATTACCTCACTGCTTCATGTTTTCCAGCTAGTTAGAAGTCTTCCATTGTAGTTCCTGTTTTTAAGAACTCCGAAGAACTTTTTGACCCCTCTATCTCCCTATTAGTCTCCTACCACTTTTCAACAAAGTATTTGAGGCTTTAATCAATACTGAAATGGTTAAGCATCTTACCTCTCATGACCTACACTCTGACAAACAATATGGCTTCCGTTTTGCCCAGCCTACTGTTGACATGCTCACAGCCATCACTGAATATGTATATCAAGCTCTTTATAATAATAGTGAAGCTCGAGCTGTGGCTCTAGATATCTCGAAGGCATTTGACAAGGTTTAGCATGCTGGTCTTCTACATAAGTTTCAGGGCTTACAAGATGATTGTCTGATTTAATCCAATCATTCCTATCAAATTGTGAAATGAAGGTTGTTCTGGACAGGCTTCCTTCCTTTCACATAAATGCAGGTATCCCCCAAGGCTCTATCCTGGGCTCTACACTGTTTCTGATCTTCATCAATGATCTTCCTGATGTCATCAGTTCCCAAGTAAACATTTATGCTGATGACACTACCATTTACTCCTGTCTCAATAGCGAATCCATTAGAGCTGACAAAGTTAACCTGGCCACTGCTCTTGAAAAGGACCCCCAATCAGTGGTTAACTGGGGGAGGAAACGGCTTGTGAATTTTAATGCTACCAAAATTAAACTACCCTCATTTAACCACCACAGAGAAACTTCTCTGCCTACCATCAGCATGGCTGATGCTCAACTCTAGGAGAGCATCTCAATGTGCTTTCTTGGCAACACATTTTCAACTGGCTTGAAATGGAAAAACTACATTGAATCAGTATCTGTCTCTATTTCTGAGATGAGGTATTATGTATATTATTTACATTATTTGGACTATTGTCCTCATCTTTATCACCATATTTATTACAAAAAAGGGTTCAGTTCAACATTCCAACCGCCTGAAGAACGCCGGAGCATACAACAGCTGAAATGTTGTAATAAATATGGCGACAAAGATGAGGACAATAGTCCGAATAATGTAAATAATGTACATTGAATCAATACTGCATCTACTGCATGGAAAGTTGGTTCATTGTGTCATGCCAGATGTTTTTTCTTGGCAGAGTCCATCTTGCATATTTACAAATCTACCATTTTTCTGTACATTGAATACTGAATACTGTTGCCATATCTGGTCTGGTGCTCCTGCTGTACATCTCAAGGTTCTTGACAAAATGCAAAGAAGGATCTGCAATGTAATCAATCCTGATTTGGCATCTCAACTTCAGTCACTTTCTCACAGACATGATATGGCTTCCCTCTGTCTTTTCTACAAATATTTTTATGGTACTTGCTCTTACAAGCTTATTCCCTGGCACCCCAAATATATGAATTTAAGTGTGCTACTAGAATGGCATCTAGATCCCGCCCTTTTACTGTTAAAATAGTAAATGTAACTGCCACTTCTATGCCAACAGTTTCTTTTCTCACACATCCCAACAGTGGAATTTCCTTCTGTTTTACTTGCTTCACTCATAACTACAATCTTCAAAAATTTAAATGCAATGTCAGTCGTCATCTTCTATCTTCTTGAATCCCATTCATCTTTTATCCTTTCCTCAGTCCCCCGCTATACCTCATCTTTTCTCTCACTTTCGCTCTCTGTAACCCCCTGCGTATTAGTGGCATTCGCGCCTTGCTTAGAGTGAAATGATTATTTTATATATATATATAGCTAATATTAGTGGTAAGTATACACATACATATGCAAAATCTATAAATATATATACATAGGTTTATTTGTTTAGATGGGTGTATGTAATTGTATGGAGATGTAAAGTTTTAGCTATATATGTTTATGTGCACGTATATGTATGTCCGTATGTATATATGTGGCTAAATGTGTATATATATATATGAAGGCGTGGATGCGTATGGATGTATGTGCATATGTATGTATTTGTGTGTGTATTTATGTATTATATGTCTACATGTATATGTATGTGTGTGTGTGTATATATATATATATATATATATATATATATATATATATATATATGAGAATGTGTATGTGTGTACATGGGTATGTGTATGTGGGTTACACACCTATATGTATGTATGTACGTGTATATGTTATCGTGTATGTGTGTATTCGTATGTGTTTTTGAACATAAAAATATAGGTACTTGCTAGATTAGATAATCGTTATATTTATTTTTTTATATGTTTATATTTGATTTGTAACCTGTAGTCGATATTAATTTTGTCAAATTTTCTTAATTACACAGCAGCCCTTTCAGTAAATGCCCTTCAGTTTTAGTTTCCCCGCCCCATCTCTCTCCCCGACCCCTTCTCCTTTCCTTTCCTCTCCCTCCCTCTTATTCTGATCTTTAAGATTAGATCGTCTATGGTGTGTGTATGTCACCACAAAATGTATCTTTAATGTATTAGACATCCGACAACATTCATATTTCTCTCACTTAAACCTCTTCCACTCACCTCTCCTAAACTTCTCTCTGTTATGGTTTAATCTCCCACCTTCTCTCGTCTGTTACCCCTCTCTTTAGCTTTAACATTCGTCCCACACTCTCATACTTACACTCTCTCTAAATTCTATTTTTATTTCCGGAGTTGTTTTTTCTGTTTTCTTTTTGAATTTGTAGGTCTGATCAATTGGATCATATTTACAATTCCAATGGAATAAATTATGACCATGGAATATTAGTGTTTAAGCCTTTTATATATATATATATATATATATATATATATATATATATATTTTCATTTAGATATCTATATATCTTAAAGAATCTCAGATTGTTTTTTTGTTACTGTTTGTGAATTAGTAAAAAAAATAATACTGAATATTTTTATTCATTGAATATGTAGTGAATTTTTTTTTGTCTTTTTAATTCCAGTTGTCAAATGATCGAAGTAAAAAGACCTCATCATACACATCCTCGCTGGCTTCCTCTTCCTCATTGTCAAGTACACCATCATACCTCAAGTTATCCCAGTCGACTTTCAATCCAGCTAAATACAGACAACAAGAGAAGTTGCACAAAGCTGTCAAAAATGGGGATGTACAGTTGGTATGAATAATATTTAATATTTGTTTTTTTATTTCTTTAAGTCAAATGTTCTCACTTTGTTCTTTAACTGCTTTATTGGATTGTGTGTGTGTGTGTGTGTGTGTGTGTGTATATATATATATATATATATATATATATATATATATATATATTTATTTATTTAAAAAAATATGATTTCAAAATAATAAAAGTCCCATGTTTCAAAAACAAGAAAAACTTCAATATAATTATTTAAATTAAATTGAGTTAAAATAAGCTCTGTTCCATCTTCAAATTAAATTTTTTGGCTCTTGTTTTTGAAAACATGGGACTTCTTATGTCGCGATTTGGAATCATATTTTTAAATAAATAATTATATTTATGCTCTACTTTTGTATCGAGCACTATTTTTTAAAAATAATAACTAAAATACTAAGGGACTTTGGATTATTTACCTAAACAGTTCCTTCATATTTTCTATATATTTTCACACACACACATATATATATATATATATATTAGTGTATTGGGGCAGCAGATAATTATTCAAACATTGTTAAATGTAACAGGCAGTGAATGTCTATTATGTTTGATCATGAGTCGTTTTAAGCTTTGTATAGTGGCTTTAGTTTCAGGAGAAAAGAAAAACAAAAACTATCCAACATTTGGATGTTTTTTTATTATGCTGTTCCTTGATCTAAGCTTTCAGCTCACATGAGCCATCATCAGAGTGGTTATATGGATATTACAACAGAGATGTTAACCATCAAAGATGACATCCTGTTATGTTTACATAGATATTTGCTATACGATGATAATGGTCACGGAATAACAGGCGCAGGTCGTAAATTCATAATACTGCTCCAAGACATCGTACATGACCACGTGAGAGAGAAATGTTATCAACAAAACCATGAGTTTAAATGCATTGTAATATGTTGTGACTGGTTTGAAATGTAATTTTGTTGAGTGTGGGTTGCTGGGTGCTTTGTTTTAATGGAGATGGCCTCCAATATCTTAAGGTTCTTTTCAGTGTGTGTATATGTCTGAGTATTGTTATACAAAGCTTAAAATGGGTCATGATGAGACATAATACACATTCGTAGTGTTATATTTTGACATACATACATATATATATATATATATATATATATATATATATATATATATTATATTATTATTTTAATGTTATTTTTAGTGGATTAATAAATTTAAAATTCATTCCTAAATTGACCCAAATAGTAGTTGTTTTGTACTTTAAATGAGAAAAAATTATTATGCATGGTTAAACAAAAAAGTGTGACATGATTTTTTATTAGAAATTTTATTATGACAAAAGAAGAAAAAGCATTTTATGTTTAATTTCTGCTCTCCTTTAGCACAAATTTTTGGCATTCATTACACATTTCTCAAAGTATAAGTTTGATAATTGATTCCATTCTTTTTTTTTTCAAAAATTCTAAGAGCTCTATTTTCATTTTTTTCTTATTCACTCTTCTGTTAAGTTCATTCCTAATTCTAATTGTGGGGGTGGCTTCAAATTTTTGAAGTGTGTGTGTGTATATAATTTTATTTTAGATATTAGAACAAAAATATGTTGAAATCACTACACAATAGCCTTCTCTGTTTTGGAGATATATATATGATGGGCTCTCCCATCAATTTCAAGGTTTCAGGATCCAACAAGTTCTTTCAGTTTTTGTGTTTACATCATATGTGACACTTCAGTCCCACTAGTGACCTGCATACAAGTCCATATATTGTGCAATAGTGAGGATCTTGAGAAGATCAGCATTGGACACCCTGTTCCCAAAAGTATACGCACAGATTGCACAGACAGCATTCATGGACGACATCCAGCTGATTGATATGGGACCTTATATGGGGGTCCACAATTCTGAGCCATACAAAAGTGTGACTAAAATGTCTGGTCTATAAACCCGCATTTTGGTGCCCAATTTGGCCCCTCTCTCTCATTCCATATATATATATATATATATATATATATATATATATACATTGAAAACAACTAACAAGGTACTGCAGCATAGTTTTTTTTTATTTTTCTTGTGTTCTTATAATTTTCTTCTTTTATGGACATAAATTATGTAGAAAATGTGCAAATGTTCTGTATGTCCAAGCACTTTCAGCCATACTTTCATCAAGGATGATTTTGTTTTTACTTTTAACTGAATGTTTGGATTGTTTTATGTATGTATCTAGAGTTATAGGAATGTTTTATTTTCCAAACATGGTCAGCACATTGTGGCCATGTTCGTAGTTGATGTTATTGAGTGTTGGCGTTTTCTTTTTTTATTAATAATGCTTAAAAACTTAACTGCAGTACCTTGTCAGTTGTTTTTAATGAAACTTATATAAAAGAGGGATTGCTGCCCAGATATATATATATATATATATATATATATATATATATATATATATATGTATGTATAAATAAAAAGAAAGAACAGTAAGATTTATAATCCGGGTTTCTTATAGATATTTTTATTTTTACAAAATAGTGCTCAATGTAAATTTACAGAGCATTAATATTATAAATTAATTGATTTAAAATATGTTTTTTTTCGCTACACAGTTCTAACCATGTTTCAAAAATGGAAGCTAAAAGCTTAGAATTTAATTTTGTAATTAAATTAAAGACATTAGTTCCATTTCATCCTCCAGCGAATTTTGGAGTAGCTTTTTAAAAATTAATGGGTTTTAAAGACACAGCTAAAATTATAATAATTTTAGCTGTGTCTTTAAAACCCTTTTAGCTTCCATTTTTGAAACATGGTTAGAACTGTGTAGCAGAAAAAAAACATTTTAAATCAATTAATTTATAATATATGATGCCCATCAAAAATATGTAAAATTACCAAAGTTTAACATATTTCAAGGTGAGGAGAATTTTTGTCAAGAAAGTGATCAATAGGGAACTAAAGTAACAATAGTCAATAAATTAATTTTTCACAGATTTTTCTGAGGGGGTTACCGGTGGCCGTTGGTTGATTTGAGATGGGATGACCCAGCAAATATGCTATTTCATCTCTATAAAATATCTTTTGACTGCCTACAAAAAGAAATGATGTAAATATCTTAAACTATAAATTATAAATCAGTTATCCCCCCCAACCTCTAAAAAATGTCATTTTTGTTATACTAATTCTCTTTTTCTTTTTTTCTTTTTTTTTTTTTTTTATAAATACCACTCTTTACAATTTTTTTAATAAATGCCACTCTTTATGATTTAACCAAACCAATTTTCTTGCTTGGAATTGATGACCTGTTCTTCATAATCCCAACTCTTATGACTTTTTCTTTTCTCTACATTTATTTATTTTTTCTTTTTCCCCTTTGTCTCTCATCACCAAATAAGGTGCGTTTCTACCTTGGATTATCTTCGAGTGAATCTGGAAATCAACCAGAATTGCAGCAGAAGTTGGAACGTGAGCTGAGCACACAGAGCATGTGCCATCCATTATGTCAGTGTGAGAAATGTGATGTCCTTCAGCAGGTAAAAAAAACACAAAAAACCCTCTCTTCTTGCCTTCTCTGCATTTTATACATTCTCTTTCAGTACTCTAAAGTGATGAATCAAATCTTGTCTCCGATAAATTACATCTGCATCCATGTAAAGACGATAAACTACGTCCAACAGCAAGGCCTCTGATCAGGAGGTTTTGAGGAGCGTGGAACCACCTCTTAATTGCTGGTGTTCCCAGGTCCATCCTAACCTCGGGTGGTAGCACCTGTTAGGGTCCCAGCTATGGGCAATAGTTAACCCCGAAACTGAGGTAAAAAGCATTATAAAAGTGTAAAAATAAATTTTAATACCAGAAATACTTTGTAAAAATTATTACCAGAAATAAATTTTTGAAGAAAAGAAACTACTACCAGCTATACATTTTGAAAAAAATATATGGAACCATCATATAGCCTGACGTGCCCTTAACCGATTTGGCCACAGAGAAGCGTTCGGTTAGCAAGTTGTAGTTTAAAGACAGTAAACCGAACGCTCCTCTGTGGTACAATTGGTTAAAGGCATGTCAAACTATATGACAGTTCCGTATAGGATACAGGTTCGATTCCTGTCGGAGGACAAATATTTTCTATGAAAATTTCTCGGACATTCAGGCTGGTAAATATTATTAATACTGTTTATTATAAACAGAGCATTTACTTAAATATTTGTATCTATAAAAAGAATGTATAAACATAAAAAATGTCTTAAAATATATATATATATACCAAGGTTTCACCTAATGGATCTTCAGGGTAATACTGAAACCTTGTTAGGTAGATTCTGGCTCACTAGATTTTATATATTCTTAAAATACATTTATAAAATGCAACGATATGAGGTCGTCATGACCTCATATTGTAGGTAGTTAGGTTCTTATACCATTGTTTGGTAGATTCCGTCTCACTAGGTTTTATATATATATATATATATATATATATATATATATATATATACACACACAAAATTTATAGTTGCAAAAAGAACAAAAATAACTAAAGTTTAAAAATAAACAAAAGAAGTGAATTAGTATAGGAACCGAACAATAGTTGCCACTGTTTTCTGGATAGGAAAAAAATGTTCTACCCAAAATGATTGAAAACCTCACAGACTGGGGGAGGGATACAGAGAACAAAATAGTTGGGAGGTGAACTAAGAATAACAAGCTTAACCTGGGGTGGGTGCCAAGTCTAATTTTACCCTTTCACTGACACTTCAATAGTCATAAAAGCCACTCAAATTCACACAAACCAAAAACTCGTCCCATTTTTACTCATGTTACAGAATGTGTAGGCTGGCCCAGAATGGCAAACTGCTGGTCAGAACTCTAACTGATGGTTTGCCGTTGTTTAAGTTTTTGATATAAGCTCAAAAAGATACAATAACAGCTGTAAGAATTAGAAGAGTCAACATGTCTTTTGCACCCAGATTCTTTAGTGGGGCAAATTGGCACATGGTAATGAAATTTTAGCCAAAGAGTTGGTATATATTCTCTCGATTCTCTCCTTCACCCTTCCTCTTAGAAACAATGCTACAATTACTGTCCCTTATATAATAAAGCAAGATTTAAAAATGAAAATTGTCTGTTGTTGATGCAGTCTATGATATAGTTAGGGTTTGAAGAATTTAAACCAGTCAACATGAAACACAGCACTTACCTTGCATGAAAATTTATTGTTCTTTAAGACCAATATTTAGAAAAAATTATGTTTGTAATCTATTTTGCCTGGTTTTATTCCATTTGAATTAACACTATTTCTATTTTGAAAGTGAAGTGGCATCATTAAAAAAGAAAAAATGAAGTACAATAAATTCTCTCCTCAAGACAGGAAAATCTTCTGATCATTTTCTTTTTATATTATTCTAGGAAATTTATGACTCTTTGTTGAGCTTAGTTTTGTGCAAGGTCACAATTATTCAGGCACCAAATGAAAATTGAACTCACTGTGTTATATTATGGTGTAGCACAGGCTAGCTTATTAACTGCCACTCTATTCTAGACATATTGTGGAGGGCCATGATCATCCAAGTTCTGATGAGATACGATATATAGAAGAAAAATCTGGAAGGTTTTTTTTTTGGTTTTTTTTTTTTCATTCCTTCAAACTTATGGCCTGACCTTTCACAATAGCTGTTTTCTAATTGATAACTTTTCTTGAGTAGCAATCGAAGTGTTTGCCTCTTGTTTGAAAGAATACTTTTTTCTCTCCTCCTGCAGTCAGATACTGGATCACTGAGTCCAGAAGATGTAAGTAAATTCTGTCATGCCTATTAAATGTCTTCTCTGTGATGCTTTTTATATGTAGGCACTCATTTTCACGCATATATTTCGATTGCATGTTCTTTGTATTGTGAACATTTCCTTTATTTTCCTTTATTTCTTTTTCCCTTTCACATTTAAGTTTATTAAATAAAATCATTTAAAAAAAATTGTTTACTACTGTAAAATAATCTGACTTGCTGGACATGTATTAATCATGGTTTTATTAATAATATAATAATATAATAAGGGTTTGCACTGCTCCCTGGTCTTTTGAACAGGATGTAGATATTTATCCATTGTTTCCTGTTTAGGATTGGGTTTCCAATTCCTCATAAAGTCTACTTCAACTCTAATGTCTTGCTTAAACTCTGAAACTTGATCCTGATTGTGGTTGTTTAAACAATCAATCATTCAATCCAAATGAAGTTCTCTTATGAATATTAATCCAATTTTTACTTAACCAAGGTTAGAGAACTTGATGAGCTACAACAGTTTCTGGTCCATTCAAACATTGTTATCCTTCAATTTGAATAAAAGTCTTTGATGTGTTTCCATGTCAAGTTTATATTAATTTTTAAATGTGTTGCTATGTACATCAGCAGTGATGCATTTTCTTAAATGATCTTAAAGGTTTTAAATCCAAACTTATATATTTTTCTTGTATTTTCCTATTGCTTGGGCCAATGTTCAAATTATGGCAGATTACAAACATCAGAAATATTTATTTCTTGATCTTTATGCTGTCTGTGATACCATAGTTTATTCAAATTAAATATTAATTGTTAGTTAAACAGATATACCAAAACTTTTATTCACTATAATGATTACATAGTATCACAGTAAATACTACAAGCTTATAGAAGAAGTAAACCGATGCCAATATTTTCACAATATAAACAACTATTGGTATTCATTAAGTGTTCGATACATTATATTTAAACAGTAGTTGTAGTTCATTAATCATTACTACACAGCAAAGTCACCAACAAATACGGTGAATATAATATTAATGTTTAAAAAGAAACATCACGTATGTTCTACTAGAAACCCTATGAAAAATATCAATTTTTGAAGAATGTGTAGAAGGTAGAAGAAATAAGTTTTGGCTCCTTCTACAGAGTTTATCATCTCTTAAATTATGAAGAAATTTTATCAATATGTAATTTATTATACAGTGTGCAGGAGAAATATCTCCCATATTTTAAAGGTTGACAAAAAGACCAAGGTAACTGCTATTAAAAAATTATTTCACTGTTGTTTAAACAAAGGGTGGCAGTTTTTATTCATTTGGTTTTAAAAATGACATCCTTCAAATGGTAGCCTCTATTTGCTATACACTGTTGTAAATGATTTCTGAAGTTTTCCATCACCTGGAAGTTCAAGCACTTCAAGGTCTTCCAGGTGGCTTTCTTTTAAGTACTGAACCTGTGGCTATGAAATTTTCGCATTATTGATTTTCTATCCAGAACAGCATGATTCCATTATAACATGAAATGAACACGAAAAGCTCTCTGCGTTGCAATTTACAGATTCACCAGTTTAAATAAAACATTTCAACAGCAAATGCATAGTGTGCACTGGCCCAAACCATGATGGTAACTGATGGTATCTGAATAAAAAATGGTAAAGCATTAACTAAATGAAAACACCATTGCCACTTGTCTAAGTTCACTAGCACCAGACAGGTGACAGTTTAAAATGTGGGAGGTATTTCTGCCACACCCTGTATTATCCAAACAAAGCATTCAGGAAATATAGATTATCACTCCCCACAAAAATCCCAATCTTGATAACTATGTTCTGTTTAAAAGACCTGCATTTACTTTGTATTTTGGAGGTTGTGTTAAAAAATCAACTCAGTCTGCATTGTTTGGATCTGTGTTGTATTTTTTTTAATATATAGGCAATATGTGATAATTATTGATGTTCTATATCTCAGGTTTTATTTTTTGAAGTATTGTAACTTGTTGCTGAGTTTTTCATCATGTCAAACAAAAAGATTTGCTGCTTGGACCCTGTATGTTGTTTGCATTGTGATGTTTGTTGTTTGTTACAAGAGAATATGTAGCATTTTTAAATCCACATGATCATTTTATTTCAGATAGTTTTTAAAGGAATTTAAGATGAGCTAAAAAAAAAGTGAAACTAATTATTCTTGATTATAATAAATTTACTTACTAAAGTGATTTTAAGTTTTAAACATTGTTTTGAAATAGTTTTATTTATTGAAGCTCAAAGGGAAATATTAAATTTCATTTAACACTTCGATAACTGTAGACATACATCCTTATAAAATTTACATTGCCTGCTGTCAGTTTATGTGTGAACATAAAATGCATTCCCCCTCATCCAAGCTTATCACTGACCAGCCAATGATTATCCCACATTGCATTCTGATTCTCGATCTCATTAGTGTGTGACAAAAACTGGGAAAGGGCCTGCTGCATGCTCACAAGGTAACAAGATGTAAGACAGATGTCATTATGAGAAATAAGAACGTGATCCCTTGTTTTCTATATCACATGCAGTTTTTCATAGATCTGCTCTCCCCCCCCCCTAACCAACTTCTTACCCATCTACATATCCTGACATGGTGGCTGGCAATGCAAATGGGTGGCATCAGAAACATGCAACAAACAAATCCAAGGGTAGAGAAGAACTGACTGGACTCCAATTATAATAATAATAATAATACAAGTACACCAATTATTTCCTGATACCCTTGATTTGG